CATCGACAGCCTCATGCCTTTGCTTACGTGCCTCCAGCACCTCTGGGGACCCACCTCATTCAGCCGTGCAAAGGCTACAAACGCGGGAGGAACAGGAGCCTCAGAAATGCGTGCAGCTCACAATGCGGGGCTGAGATGTGTGTGCACGCGCTTAACTAAATGCAGAATGGCCCTGGGTGTGTGCTCCTCTCCCGGCCCACATTCCGTGCCCACTTCTTCCTCTAAAGGGCAGAGTAGCAAAGCCACTCTTCTCTTCCAGGCCCTCCGAGCTGAGAAAGGTCCCAAACCAAATTGCCTCTGGGACACAGGGATCTGGTTTTCCCCTCCCTCCGCTTACAGATGACATCTCCAATACATGCCAGCAACACTTAGGCTGGAGGTACAGGGCCACCAGGCATCTACAAGCTGACAGGTGTGGGCCCCATGGGAGCAGGGAAAGCAGAGCCAGACCTCCCCCCTACCCCCAGCATCCTCAGTCTCTAAGACGCATTTAAACTGCGAATGCAATGCTCACTTCCTCCCACCGCGGAGCACTGCACAGGCCCACACCGGCCAGATGTAGCTCTGCGGCAGCAGCCACATCCACAGGGGACTGTTTGGTCCTGGCAGGACTCCCACTTTCAACCGCTCGTCTCTGGCCGATTCAACTCCATCGGCATCTTCCACAGCTGCCTTGCCACATCTCGGGCAGCGTGGTCGTTCTTGGGTTGTGTGGTGGTTGTCATAATGTGGTGGTGGATTTCTTTGGGATTAGGTCAAATTAGAATAAAAACAAAAAATCTATCTAGTTAAGTGAAAAGCTTAGGGCTATAAAAATTTAAATTTTTTTTTTAATTCTCTGCTTTGTCCTTAGAGGAAATTTCTAAACTTTTATCCAGTATTGGAGATGGGGGTACAGATTTGGAGAAAAGCATTTCAGTGATTTCTGAAAGTGGTAGGGAATGCCAACTCCAAGTTTGCGCGAATCCTCTAGGGCAGCGGTTCTCAACCTGTGGGTCGCGACCCCTTTGGCGGTCGAACGACCCTTTCACAGGGGGGGCCTAAGACCATCCTGCATTATCAGATATTTACATTATGATTCATAACAGTAGCAACATTACAGTTATGAAGTAGCAACAAAAATAATTTTATGGTTGGGTCACACCATGAGGAACTGTATTTAAAGGGCCAGAAGGTTGAGAACCACTGCTCTAGGGTTTGCACATTCACAAGGGTTTCATTCATTGTGGGCCAGGTGAGCGTTCCGTTCCTATAACCCCAGATTGTTTCCAGCCGAGAAGGAGCTGGAAGGTGATTTGAAGCTCTTGTTGGTGGAGGTGGTGGTTCCATCTCACATCCCTGTTACCCCGGGTGTGGGAAGGTCCCAGGGCAGCGTTTCAGTTTCCCTGTCTCTAGAGAGGGGGCCTTCTCAGGGCTCTGTTTCTCCCTTCGGGGTGGGCACAGCCCCTGCCTGGGAGCTCTGGGCGCCGGGCAGAGGCAGGCACTGGCATTGCTGCAATCGCTCATTTGCTGTCAGCCAGCTGTGCACAGTGATGGGGTACCAGGTCTCCGCAAAACCATGGTTAGAACATGATTTTGCTGGAGTCTTGAGGGAGGAATAGATCCCGTTGGAAGAGCCAGATAAAGAGAACAAAGGGGAGAGAAAAAGAGGAAAAGGGGAGGAGGGAGAAACAGAAGTGGGGAAAGCTAAAACTAATAGGTTCTCGTCTCTCAGCTAGAAAACCAACCACTGTTTATAATTCCATTTTCCATGAACAAAAAATTGTTTTCTAAGTTTCCAATAATGAAGCTGGGTGTTTTCTACACAAAGCCAAACCCACCAAAAAAAGAAAACAACAAGCAAGCATTTAAGAGTAACACAAGTGTGTGTTCTTAAAAAGATCTGTAGGTAGAATTTCTATCAAAATCCAGCTGCATTACGTTTGTTGGTTTAAGTTGGGATGGAACACCCCGAGAAGCCCTGACATAACAATGTTCCTTTGCCTGGCAGGTCACTTTAGCAAGGCCATGGTCACAGAGCACATTACAAAAGACAATCAGCGTAGGAAATAGGACAACAATAGCTGCTTCTACCTCCATGCTAGTATTAGGGTCAAGATCGTCACACTCTGACTCCTCGGAGCTGTTCGTCTCCTTGGTGGGCAGCATGAGGAAGGGGGAGAGAGAGAACACAGTTAGAACACAGGCAGCTTTTGCTAGAGAGCGAGGAGAACGTCAGAGAAGCGCGGGCAATGGGCAACCGGGCAGAGGAAAACCCGGGCGGGGTGTGGTTGCCAAGGCGGCAGCATGCTCTTGTCAGGAGCGGAGGCTGGGAGCGTGTGCAGCCGCTCATCCCACAGGAACTAGCAATGGAAGCAACCGCATGGAACATGAGAGCTGTCGGATCGAGACTGTGGTCTTCGGTGAGGCTGGCCTTCCCAGATGAGGGTGAAGGAGGGAATACAATTTCTTTTCCCCAAGAAGGATGTTAGAATGGGTTTTGGCCATTCTTATTTGCTCAGGAAGGTGGGGGAAAGTGCCAGGTAGATAATCACACATTCTAGCACAATTAAACGTCAGCAGTCTAAAGTTCCATTTGCCAGAGGGCAAAGTGTAAAGAAAACAGATCACACTGTTTTGAGGCCAGAGGCAACCAGGTCTGCCGACGCCTAGACTCAGGGAGAGTAGCAGGTGGATTATTACCGAGCAGACTTGGGCGACACCAATGTGCTACCCTTCCCTGCCATGCACAGGCTGGAACGTGATGTCTGAATTCTGGGGAAAAGAAATGAAACTTGGCCAAGGACACAGTGGCCCTTAAATTCCAAACCTCAGATTTGACAGGGTTGAGGGTTTGGAGAGCACCCCTCATCTCCTCACCCCACATGTACCATCTAACCTACGATGCCAAATGGCCAACTCTGAGGACTTTGTTATGAATCAAGCACCTTGCGGTTCTAAGGGAATAATGCTGCAGATAATTTTGCTATAAAACATCTGCACAGTATATAGTTATGAAAGAAAAAAAAAGAATACTTACTTATTTGAATCGAAGTTGCCAGGAGAAATAAAAAATAAAAAATAAATTGATCTTGCATGCAAAAACCTGTTAAACTACCTCCCCTCTAGCTCCCACGCTGGGAAGAAAGATCCCCGTCCCCCTGGTCGCCTCGTGAGGATGCTGCGGGGGGAGTGGAGGGGGTGGGATGCAGCTCCGGATCCTTACTCACTTTAACAGAGACTTTGTGGCCCAGAATATCCTTGGGTTTACGAGGCCCTGTGGCTTCATTTTTACCCGAGTGCTCCACTTCCGCCCGCTTTCTCATGCGTAGAGTATGCCATGAACATGACTTCCTGTTGTACCAAAAAATGCACCAATCAAAATGGCAGGTCAGGGCAGAGACGGGGAGCAGGTGGGCTGGCCACCTGTGGGTGCGTCAGTAGGTGAAGGGCTCCAGTCAGGCCCCGGCGTCAGAGGCCCCAAACCTGCATGCCAGCTCCGTGATGGGCAGCTGACCTCACCTCCAATGGGAAGCGAGCGAGGTAGACCGCAGCGTTTGAGAAAAACATGAGCACTGAGTTAGGAAGCTCTACCAGGGGCAACTTTTATAAAATACTGATGAGGTCTTATAGGCCTGAGGCAGTCCCTTCTTGAAGGGTTTGGTGGATAAGGGAAGAACGGGTGGTCGTGGTAGGGGAGGGGGTTGGAAAGATAAAAGGAGTTTATGCTCTAGTGTTTAAGTTACTGGCATTTCCCTGGGATCAGATATAGAGATTCAAAAGGACGATTTTGAGATTTCCATCTTGTTATTTGTGTTTGGACTGTGGCCTCTCCCAGACACTGTGGTGCAGATAGGATCTTTGGGGGCAGTTGACTCATTTATCGGGATGTCTTAGGATAAAGCAGTGGCTCTCAACCTTCCTAATGCCATGACCCTTTAATACAGTTCCTCATGTTGTGGTGACCCCCAATTTCATTGTTACAAATTGAACATAATTAAAGCATAGTGATTAATCACAAAAACAATATGTAATTATATATGTGTTTTCCAATGGTCTTAGGCGACCCCTGTGAAAGGGTCATTTGACCCCCAAAGGGGTCGCGACCCACAGGTTGAGAACCACTGGGATAAAAGGTTTGTGGCCTATCTTCTCCACATCACTGGGTGTTTGTACATGTGAGGCTCAGTCAACCACTAAGAGGTCCTAGGGTTTTCCTGTTGGGAGAAGAACCGGCCGGTCATGCCCTTTCCCACTGTCCTAACTTATATTTTCCCATGAGGGGGGTGAGAGCTACATCTTCACAGACCTGCCAAGAGAAGCTCAGAGCAGAGCTCTTAATATGTTAGGACTCAAAGACAAAGACCCCAGAAGCCATGTCCCACATGGCACGAATGACCTTGGTCGGCCATAATAATTCCAGGTGTGGCCACAGATTCTGGACGAAGCTCTAATAGTGTCTGAAATAAGTGAGGTAAGTGAGGTTGGCTTCCCTTCAGTGTCTCCTTGTCCAACGTAGGCCTATGCAGGCCAGAGCTCAATGAAAAGAGCTTCATTAAGGGATTCCTGTTTTGGTGAAGGGCTGAGACATATAAGGTTTAGGAGGATACTCCAAAATGTATCACATCCCCTCCACAAAATTCCACATGTGTGAGGAATTTTAGGAAGTTCTGAGAAAGGTGTCCCCAAAATATTTATCACTAACACACGTGGTCAAAAATCCAACTTTCTGAGTAGGCAAGAAGAGCAATCATAGTCACATTCTCGAATCTTTTGGGAAAGTGGGCTCCTTTAAAAGTCCAGAGTCTCTTGGCCAGACCTTCTCTTGTTGCTCCTAAAGAGGCAGGCTGTGAGGGACCCCTGCATGCCAGCTCCTCGCCCACCTGCTGTACCTAAGTGAGACCCAGTCATGGAAGCTCATCTTAGGTGATATCACTCTGTTAGCTTTAGAGTTTCATCTCATATCTTTGCTCCAAATCCATGTTTCTAACCCTCTCTGAGAACTTGAGTCAGGCAGGTCCTTGCTGAAGACTCCTAGGCAGATAGCACAGTGTGTGTGTGTGTGTGTGTGTCTGTGTGTGTGTGTGTGTGTGTGTGTTCAGTCATTACAACCCTCTGGGTCATTGGGCATGCTCAGTGAGACACTAGAAACATTACAAACAGTGCTCAGAGGGGGGACTCAGAGCAATACAAGTGGTGGGACAGGCTCAGCTTCATGGTCTTCTTCCCAGGAGAACGCATCCTCATAGTCTGGGGAGCTCCCATCTCTTGGCCACAAGCCCAGGGACTGATGTGGAAACAGGGTTTTGGTGACACTGGCCCGTAGGCATCACACGAACTCTGACCTCTGTGGTCACGGAAGGCCCCAGGGAGGGTACGGTGCATGTCCTTCACTGATAAGTGACACCGACTTTCAGTCAGCTGCTCGGCTCCACCTTCACCACCCCTTGTGTAAGAGCAGCTGACAAGGAACCAGTGACCGATTTGTATCGATTCTGTTCTTTCTCACCCAGCCTGACCCCTCCTACCGTCCCTCCCACAGAAGATGTGAAAAGTGACCAATAGACTGGAAGGCAGGAGGAAGACCTGCTCAGAGCCTGCATGATTAGATCACAAGTCATTACATGTCCATCCTGTAAGGCCACTGATTCATAACAACGTCAATGCTTTGAGGGCCTTTGTTCCCAAGGCTTCTTAAAGGGGACCACAGCCAAGTGACTTTAGGATAAAATGCATTGGGCCTCTCTGTGCCTTAGGGGACACGACTGATTCCCAAGTGGGCCAGGGCCAATTCAGCAGCCTCCACCCCCGAGCTGGAGAAAGGGCCACAGAAGCACAGCTCTGTCGGTGACTCTGCTCAGACATCTTACAGGAGCCCCTTCCATCCCCGAAGCCATGACCACACAGCACAGGAAGCAGCGGGGAGGCAAGCCAAGCACTACCTTCTATTCTAGTCATTAATTTACACCAGCACCTCGAGGCCGCCCAGGTGGACAGTATCCAATCTGCCTCCTTCCTCATCTCAGAGGTTAGAGAAAACCAACAGGGGCTATTTAGAAGGGAAGACGGGGTGGGGTTGGAGCCTTAGCAACTGATTGTCAGTGCATTCAACCAACTTCTAAAGCATAGAAAAGAAAGGAAAGGGAAAGGGGGTGAGGAGGTGGGGAGAAGAATCGTTTGCACATTTAAAAGTCCCAGAATAGTGAAATGGGGAAAAAGGGTCAACTAGTCTTGAACCTCATTAAAACATGCTCATGGTGAAAATTTATTTTACATATTTAAAATAGTACATTTAAAATTATTAGTTACATTACAGGTACAATGATGAACATTGTGACTCTCCATTATATTGCACAGCCTGACTTCATCCATATGGGTTTCTTTAAATAGTGCAAAATACTTTATACAGGAATGTGTTCGGAAGGGTCTTTGCAACCAAAATAAGGAAAAGAAATATCTTACAAATGACCATGAACATATATTAAACGCACAGGGGAGGGGAAATTAAAAAAAAAAAAGTACAATCTGTACAGAGGAATTGCCATAGACAACCAAAAAGTTCCCTCTCTCCTGGGAGAAGCAGCGGGGCCTCTGACCTGCACAGGTCTGGCATTTGTGCTAAGGTAATTTTTTGGTGTCAATCAAAAAAAAATATATATCAGCAACTTAATCCAATATAAATAGAAGTCCAGTCCAGTGAATCCTGCGGTGGGCCAGGTGGAGCCACGGAAGGCATGCTGTCACCTAGGGTCTCAGTAGGGCTCTTTTCTTAGCGAGAGGAGAGGGGGGGAAAAATGAACAAAAATTATAAACAAAATGGAAAGGAAAACCACCGTCACTACCATCCATCCACAAAAACAAAAGATTCGGGACAATCCAGCCTGGACGCCGGGCTGCGGTGGCTCCGGGCCCTCAAGCATTGCTTCCGTTGGTGGCGCTGTCACGAGTAAGCAGCAGTAATTCCCTACCGTGTGTTTGCATTTTTGTGTTCTTGGTTTGTTTTGGAATTTTTTACATCCACATACTCCTCTCCCGGGGAAGCCACCGAGGCACTTACTTGATGCTCCCGTCACTATTTTCTGCCGCCGCCGTGGCTTTGGTGAGGGGCGCCAGGATGCTGCCCGGGACCCAGCCCTCGGCCGCGGGCGAGTGGTCGCTGGCAGGCTGGTACACCAGGCACATGTTCTGCTGGTTGACGGCGAGGACCTGGACCACCTCACCTTGGCTCACACAGATTTCATTTTCCTTCAGTGCATAGTAATCTTTGATCACGGCCATGGATGAGGTCCCATTGCAGCCTCCCAGGTCGCCCTGCTGGGAGACAGGGAGAGAGGGACCCAGATGCAAGAAGGCTGGGGCACACGGCCTGCTCTGCATCCCGTGTGGGTAAAAGCCCACCCTCCCACTAGCAGGGAAAGATGATCTTGAGTAATGACATTATATTCATAAAAAATACTCTTGTTTCATACAACATATAGGGTGTCCCCCCAAAAATGTATACACACACTTTGAATAATGATAAAGGCAGTGCTTATTAAAATACATTTCATTTTCAAAGTTGAGCAATCAGGTGTTAACGTGTGTATGTATTTTTGGGGGGACACCTTGTATAATCAAGGGTGAACAGGTAGAGATACGGCTGGCCTAGGTAAACATGTAAACACCCCTTCCACCTGCAAGCCCCTCCCTAGCATGCAACCTTCCTGACTATGTCCTCTGATTAATGGAAGGAAAAGCATGGTACTGGGACAGGGGTCCATGAGCACCTGGGCAAAATGAGGTCAGGGCAAAGGACAAGCTAGAGGTCATAACCCCAAGTGGAAAGAACACAGACCCTTTGATACACTTTTTTGTTCCTTTTGAAAAAACATTGGTCTTACTCTGTTCCTACATTCTGACCCTCCTGAGACAGGAGTAACAATGAGCCACTCGCCCAATTCAAAGGCAAGGTCATGACCTATCTTGCTCTAACTCCTGTGGGGACAGAACTCCTCCAGTTTCCCGTATTCTCATTTATGCAGAGGCCCTGCCTCTGTGGCCTTTTCACACAGCTCTCCACCAGGGAAGCTGCTTCTAGATCAGCTGTGGGCAAACTATGGCCCGCGGGCCAGATCCGGCCCGTTTGAAATGAATAAAACTAAAAAAAAAAAAAAAAGACCGTACCCTTTTATGTAATGATGTTTACTTTGAATTTATATTAGTTCACACAAACACTCCATCCATGCTTTTGTTCCGGCCCTCCGGTCCAGTTTAAGAACCCATTGTGGCCCTCGAGTCAAAAAGTTTGCCCACCCCTGTTCTAGACAGACCTGTAAGTCCTAGAGAGGCCTGGCTGCCTCACAGAGCATGGTGAGAGCCAGAAATTCTTCAAAAAGCTTGACAAAATGCCAATGTGACTTCAACTTATGCACAAGAGCAGGGGGTTTTAAGATGGAACATCATTTCTAGGTGATATGATAAAATAGATCGGTACAGTTACTCTAATACAGAACTGAAGTCAGACACTGTTAATTAAAAAAAAAATCAGTGTCATCTAACTAGAGGCCCAGTGCACGAAATTTGTGCACTGGGCGGGGGGTGTTTTGTCCCTCAGCCCAGCCTGCACCCTCTCCAATCTGGGACATCCCTCTCATAATCTGGGACTGTTAGTTCCCAACCGCTCACCTTCCTGCCTGATTGCCCCTAACTGCTTCTGCCTGCCAGCCTGATTACCCCCTAGCCACTCCCCTGCCAGCCTGATCGACGCCTAACTGCTGCCCCGTCGGCCCGATTGCCCCCAACTGCCCTTCCCTGCCAGCCATCCTGTGCAAGGGTGTGACAGTCAATTTGCATATTACCTCTTTATTATATAGGATAATTTAGGTAAAAAGAATAAAATCAGAACATGTACACCAAATGTTCCTATTCACCGACCCACTGAGTTTTAGAGGAAACTGAGGCCTAATCTGATTCACTAACTTGCTGAGGTTCTAGAGCAAGTGAGTTGCAGAATTGGAATGGAAACCAGATTCCCTAATTCTTCATCTTTCCTATTTGTTCCTACTACCTGGTGGGATGAAAGCAACTGTTTAGACTGAGTCTACACTTATGTCTGTGGCTGTCCTCATGGTGATGTCTGCATGATGGATTATCAATGATAAGTGTTTAATCCAAGACTGGCATCCCCATTCACACACACGAGTGACTTCTTGCCACATTAACCAGTGGGTGGTGAAGAACTATGAGTCACTTTGGCAGCTCATCATTAGAAAAGGCAATGTCTTTAAAATGTCAAACACCAGAGTGGTGCCTTTTAGATGACCTACATCACAACTCTCTCTTTGGTGTAAGTCACCTGTTTTCATAATTGCGACTATGGTAACACCTTACACTTTTATGGAGTTTCTGCTGATGACTATTTCTCTTGAACACAGTTTCTGAGCCAGAGAGAACTGATCTAACACACTCAACTTGCAGAGAGGAAAGAATAATAATTAAGACTAGTCCGTATCTAGTGGGCTGCTCCTGCTCAAATGATCAGCACAAAAAGATGCTACTTCCTACAGTGAGCTCTGAGGCCATGCCCTCAGGTTGGCAAGAATGGGACCCAGGGGCTGTCACTTACCTTGCTGGCCTCAAACTTGTCTCCAGGCTGGTGGTAGTCAAACCCTGGACTGCCATTGGAGGTAGATATCTTCAGGGGTGGCAGAGGCGGGTTATAGCTGGAGCCCTTTGGGGGCTTCTCAGAGCCCACAGGGATGGAGGAGTAGGGCCGTGGGCTGGCCTGGGGAGTTCTGGCAGGCGGGGCCCTCATTACGGCCGAGCTCCTCTCCTTCCGCTGGTACTCAATGGGCGACTGCAGTGCTGCAGAGAAGAGCGACGGTTACTCTGAGCTCTGGGGATCCTGCAGGGTTTGGGAGCTTCTTAGGTATGGGCTCCATGCCAGGCACAATGGGGATACAGGAGAAAGACACTACCCTTGTTAAGGAACTTATCTACCGTGAGAACTAAGAAACCTACCTGAATAATGAAAATACAAAGCCCAAGTAGTTGCCGTAGGTGAGATGCAAAGTGTTGTGCGAAAGGAGGGAGTGTGTGGTGTGGGTGCCTGTGTACAGGTGGTGGTGATAAAGAACTTCAGAGGAGGTCCAGCTGTCAGGCTGTGCCGTGCAGGCTCTGCAGGAAGGAAGCAAGTGTGGCGTGTGCCTGGGGAACAGGATGGAACCATTACATGGAGCACCAGGCCATGGGTCTCCATGGAAGAGGAGGTGAAGCAGGTGGGGAAGGCAGAGGTGCCATGTGCGAACGACCTAGAAAGCCAAGGCTCACGAGTCTGGATTTGATTCTGAAGATCATGAAAAGTGATTGGATTCATGAATGTGAACGTTTTAAATTCAGACTCTCTCACTACAGCCAGGCTTGGAGGACATTAACCTTGAAGCAGTTGGGAGGACAGATTGGAGAGGCTGAGACAGAAACAAGCAAGAGGCCCAACTCAAGCAGCAGCAGTGGGCATGTGGAAGGGATTTGTGTGGCAAGTGTTCTGGAGGCAGACTAGACTCTGACCCCGCCTAGGGGGTAAAGAAGGCAAGAATCGAGGGTCACACTGGTTTGGAGACTGGGAGAAGGGTTGTCAAGGAGACAAAGGAAAAGCTGATTTGAAAGAAATGACATGGGCTTTGTTTCACTGAGTTGAAGATAACAAAGTTCCAAAGTCTGAGTCCTAAAGAGGTACAGCCAGTCAAAGGCCACCGAGGTCAAACTCTGTAATGACGACATCAAGGACTGGCCCGATAATGCTGGTTTTATCAGTCTTCACTGTAACAAATACTTCCATGGGTTACCAGCTGGGGCCCAGAGAACTTCCCATTACTAGAGTATTTCTATAGTGATCGGTATGAACTTCAACAGGACCCAACATTGGCCACATTGCTTTCCGATTTGCGGTCTCGGGAGGGAAAGACAGGCTCTGAGAAGCTTGCACAGGACTCTGTAAGCAGGCCTGGTGCTCGGCCATCATCACATCCTTGTCTCTCGAGTGTGTCCAAGTACAAAGCAGGCTCTGCCGGAGCCCGGCCTTTCTCCCTGGAGAGAGCTCTGTGGGCTTAGATACTGAGGTGTCTATAATCTGGCCCAGCAATAGTTCCATAATTCACTAACATTAGGAGACAAGTCTCTTGGAACCAGGGCAAAGTCTGAATCACTGACTGCTCAAAGGAATGCAGTTCTATGCTTTATGTAGAGAGACTTAAGTCGAGTTGTGAAGCAGGCCCTGTCAGACTGCCCTCCATACCTGCTACATGGAGTTGGGGTGCTCAAATGTTTGAATCAAGTGTATATCTACACAAATAAAAGAGAAACATGCAAATTGGTGTCACTCTGCTACACCCAACAGCCAATCAGATGAGTATGCAAATTAATCCAACAAAGATGGCGGTTAATTTGCTTATGCAGGTGCGGAGCGAAGACTGAAGACGACTGAAGACTGAAGACGACTGAAGACTGAAAAGGCTTGGCTTCTCCACTGCAGCTGGAGCGGAGAAGCCAAGCCTCGCTGCTGCAGCTGGACCAAAGGCCTGGGTCCTGGGTGCTGGAGGAAAACCGGTGCCAGCAGCCAGGGGAAGGAAGGCCTATTGCGCGAATCTTCGTGCAACGGGCTTCTAGTTCCTAAATAAGCCACCTCCAGAGCCTGTGTCCTGCCACCAGCCTCAATGTGCATAACTTAGGCCTTTGGATGGGGAAAGCTGTGCATCTATGGACAGGGTTTGTTTCTGGCTGGTGGATACAGTGCTTATACCGGATCCTGTTTCTTTCTTTGCTTTGTTGGTGAGGGAGCTCACATATAAATGTGTGTTCTACACTAGCAACTCTACTGCAGTTTTGTGGTTAAGAACCTAATTTTAGGTTATACAGTTCTGGGTTCAAGTCCTTGTCTTTGTGACTTCTGACAAGTTTCTTAACCTCTCTGAGCCTCTTTTCCTCACCTTAAAAATATATGATGACAGTACTTACCTTCCCATGTTTATGTGAGGATGAAATGTGATAATACATGTGAAATGCTTAGCATAGTGCCTGGCACAGAGAAAGGATGGCAGCCGCTATTTCAATTATTTCCGGTTTCAGTTTTATTCTCCTCCCTTATTTTTCTTTTGTCCTGAATTAATGAACGTAAAAACCTCATTCCAGCTTAGAGTCTATCAGAAATTCCTGAGAGAGTGAAATTTAATAAATGTATTTTATATATGCACATATTTTTTTGTATAAAGTTATTTTATCAGCATAAGTGTTAATTCACAGTTGTATATTCAGACACTGTAAATGATATACAACTTTCATTACTATTCCTCAGGGCTAGGCTGGTGTTTAATTTTAGACTTTTTAGAATGAAAATAAACCTAGAGATCACTTAATTTTTCTCCCCAAGGTATTCTATAGTTGGGGGACCAGGGGACATGACCCAGAAAGACTTTCTGTAAGTGTGAAACTGCTTCGAAGTCCCATGCTCTATCTCAAGAAGTCACGGCATCCTTCGATATAATTTTTTTATTTGTTTTAAAATAAACACAATGTGTTAAACCTCTTATCGTGGAGTAAAACTGATACTGCAGGAAGGTGTGCCATGTTTTCCTATTTCCAGGGTGGCTGGCACGCCATGGCACATGCCAGTGTGGGCAAAGCACACTGTTTCTCCTTTTCACAAAATGAGCTAACTGAGGTCCAAGGAAAGGTCCTCAACTAGTGTGTCACCTTTAACCTTTCCCCACAGCACTCAGGCCCATGCTAGACATTGACAAATGCTCCATTTGCATCATTTAACAGGTTCCAGATATCGGTGCTGGCAAGGAGGTGACACAGTGGAGGGAGGAGTGTGTGTGTGTGTGTGTGTGTGTGTATGTGTGTGTGTGTGCACGTAAGCACATACAGCCCTATGTGCTTGCTGAGTCTCCAGACTTGCTTTGTTACTGGTTATATTTTGTCTTCATCTTCAAGCTCCATTTCTGCTCAGAGAGACATCTAAGCTTGTAACTGCACAGATTACCACTAGTTTAACCCTGTACACTTCCTTTCCCACGCCAAGCTCAACGTGAAGAAGATCCCCGCAGGGAAAACAAATAAAATGATGTAAATAAGATAGCGGCTCCACTTCATTCCAGACCACACAGCCCATTAGGGGCACTCCTGCAAGGTCCACAGAGAGCTACATTCTCTGCGTCATCAATCTGTTCTAGGAAGTTCAAGGTATTACTGAAATTTTGAGTGTGATCACCTCTTATTGGAAGAGAGGACTTGTTCAAGCTCTCACACTGTTGGGAGCAGAAGGGGCATTTGAACTGATATGCCAAATTCCTAGTCTCTCGATAACACTGGAGAACCTGTGAGCATATCAGCCATCGGCCACCAAAGGGGAAGACACATGTCACTGATGTTGGCACCTCAGGGACAGAGGTGGTACCTGCCTCTGACTTTTGCCCCAATTATGACCAGCTGGTAATGGTGGTCACGAGGCACATGCCCTATGTATTGGCTATAAGGGAGTATTCCTGCCCTTGGAGAGATGGGGCTTCTTTATAATGCTCCATCTGTTCCCCTTGTGCATTCAGGTTCTGATGCTAATTAGAAAAATTCTAAACAAAGTGTTTCTGAAAACTAAGTTGACCTCCATATAAAATGTGACCTGGGCTCAGAACTCACCATAAGCCCAGACCCAAGGAAGCTCAGGGGTGTGGGGTGCCATGAAACTGCCCTGCTAGAAGCCAGGTCCAGGACCCACCATTTAAGAAGTCTCGCTGTGTTTCTAAGACTTGGCTGATGTCCTGCACCCAGGCCTGCTGGATGTCAGCGTTGGCGGCTTGCAGAATGACCCTCTCCGAAGTCTCCCTGTTCATGAGCGCAAACTTGCAGGGGTCATGGTCCACGTCCTCCTCCAGGACCAAGTGATTCATCTGGAAGACACCAAGGTGATCTGTTCATATGTAAGCGGTTTAATAAAAACCAACAACGTATCACAGTTCCGCGAAGTTTCTATTTCAGGAGGTGTTTCCAAAATTTGGCCCTGGATCCAACAGCTAAGTACTTTGGTCTCTGTCTTGGAGACCTGCAGTATCCCGCTGCAGACAGGCACTCCCCTGTCACTTTTTCCCACAGATGCTCAACCTTCATGCCCGAAAGGTCAGGAGGCTGAAAGATCTTCAATATTCAGGATCCTGACTCATTCCATGCCTCTGTCTTAGGAAAGCAGCTCCCCCAAATTTGGCTCTTCTTCATCCCTTCTCATCCCCACGGGATCCTCACCTTGATGCTCCTTTTGAACATGTAGCCCGGGGTGACAGAGCCCTTCCTGAGCAGTTCGCTGAAGATGACAATTTGCTCAAAGAGGAACACACGCCTCTCCTTGGTCCGGGACTGCATGCCGGCATCCAGCTCAATCACGTAGAACGTGTCCTGCTGCAGCAGCTTCCCCTGAGCGGTCAGTGTGCCCTGATGGAGAGAAGGGCTGGGGTGAAGCAAATGAAAAACGGGGAGACCACCACAGCCCTCTGGGTCCACAGATTCTCCCTTCTATGGACATGGACAGCAGATGTGATACCCAAACCCTCTGGGCTTAATAAGAGACTGAATCAGGACTGGCCCATTCATCTGGGGCAGCCACAAGGGCTGTGAAGAGAAACGGAAAGGGAAAGAAGGCTACAGAACTACTAAGAAGCAGCCAAAGGGTAATGCCAGAAGGAAGGTAAGATAATTAACTAAAGAGATGTTCAGAAATGACACTGGCCCTTCTTATGTTTTATTAGAAGGAAAATAGAAAGGAAGTGACACTTGGAGCTCAAAGCGACCTTTCTGTGCCTGAAGCTCTGAGAAGTGTGCCTGCCTGGCTTCCTTGCAGCATGGGCCAAGGACCTGGAGTCCTCTAGTGGCCAGGAGCCTAGAGCCAACCGTGGCCAGGAGAAGTGATGTAGGCACAACCACACCTAATCTGATGCATTGGGCCCCTCTTTTCTTCTATTACTTCAAAATGGAGGAAATTCTCAAGTCTTAGGCTCTTACAGGCTGACAGGTAAAGTTTGAGTCCCCTAGATTTATGCCCAAATTTTATAAGCTGGTAGGTATTTTTTTTTTTGCATCCATAATCCTTTTTTTTAAAATTGATTTTGAGAGAGAGGAAGGGAGAGGGAGAGAGAGAAACATCATTGTGAGAGCAAGATATCGATTGGCTGCCTCCTGCATGCCCCCCACTGGGGATTGAACCTGCAACCTGTATATGTGCCCTGACTGGGAATTGATCTATCAACCTTTCAGTGCACAATGTCCAACCAACTGAACCACACAGGCCAGGGCCTGTGATCCTTCTTTTTTTGTTGTTAATCCTTACCTGAGGATATTTTTTCCATTAATTTCTTGAGATAGTGGAAGGAGGGAGGAAGAGAGAAAGGGAGAGAGGGAAATAGAGAGTAAGAGAAACATCAATTTGTTGTTCCATTTGTTTGGTCTCTGAAGAGACCATTGACAAGAGGATCAGCATCTGATTCGCTGCCTGATTCACGTAGACTTCACAGGAACTGTGCCTAGAGCCAACCAACATTAATTGGTTGATTCCTGTATGTGCCCTGACTGGGATCGAACCTGCAACCTTGGTGTATCAGGACGATGCTCTACTCAACTGAGCTACATGGCTAGGGCTTTCATCTTCCTTTCATGTTCCTGAGAAACACCTTCCCTCTGCTTGGATCATGGCTCCTCATTGTCAAGGTCATCAGCCAAACAGGCTTATCTCTACCCTGGCCCAAAGTTAATATTAAGCTGGTGACTAGCAAGCCAGGAAAGCTCTAAAAGCTCTATTAATATTACATAAAAGCCTGACCCATAAGTTATAGCCCTGCTGATGCTCAAGGGAAAGCTAGAGGACTTAAAAAGGAGGGAATCTAAGTGAAGGGGCTACCTCCTCCCTGGCCCAAAGCCATGGACTTCAGAAGGAATGGAAGTATGTTCATAATTCTTTCCAATTAGCTGAAGGAATGCAAAGCAGATTCTCTGGGGCTTGAGGAAAAATGCAGATAGTGGTACTTGATTTAAAAGAGAGAATAATTGCCTTGACCAGTGTGGCTCAGTTGGTTGAGCATCGACCTATGCACCAAAAGGTGGCCGGTTCAATTCCCGGTCAGGGCACAGTTCCTGTGAAGTCTGATGTGAATCAGGCAGTGAATCAGATGCTGATCCTCTTGTCAGTGGTCCCTTCAGAGACCAAGAGAAAGTCAAGCCAGACTCTTGCTCAGAAAACATGGGCCATCAAGGTTTAAGAGCAAAAGGAGTTATCTGCCTTGTTCAGAATAGTCTCAGCCCTGGCATAACTCCAAGGGAAAAGGTATAAACTTCACCTAGGATGACTGAAGAAGCACTGTGTAAGAAGTCAGATATGCTGCTGCTGTGTATCCCTCTTACTCTCCTCCTAGGTCTACTGGGGACAACTGGGAACCTATCAAAAAGAACAGCAAAGAAGACCCTCCACATACTTCCTGGACACAACAAAGCAATGGAGATCAGACCGGGACACCAGGATGGGCTGGAAGGGCAAGGAGGACACAAGAATTTGTCTCAAGAACACCCTGGATCCAACTCAAGAACCCAAAGCTAAATATAGCATCTCTGAAATTTACTTATGGGCCAGTCTGCCTTATATCTAGTCTAGTCTACCTCTTTTAATTTAGCCAGAAGAAAAAAGGCTATTACTTTATTAATTATGTCAACTTTCAGAAATCTTCCCTTTTCTCCAAAAAAGGAATAATGAAATCTTAGATGACAGGATTACCGGGAAACAGGACCGGAAGATTCACCTCTCTCTCTACAGCACTCAACAACTACGTACCAGTCAATAACTGTGTCCGTTCCAATGTTACCATATTGATACTCAACAGATTATGTTTCGTTAATATATAATGTTTGGGTATAAGCTAACAACAGCCACTTATTAAGTTAAATTAGAAAAATCAATTTGCTCTTTAAAGGTTCACTGTTATGGTTGAATTGTATCCCCCACAAGTCACATGTTGAAGCCATAACCCCCAGACTTCAGAATGGGACCCTATTGGGAGGTAGGGTCCTTAAAAAGTTAATGTGTGGCCATTATGGTGATTCCTATTCGAGGATGATGGGTGTCTTTATAAAAAGAGGAAATTAGGACACAGAGGGCAGACGATGTGAAGATACAGGGAGAATGCCATGTGCACATGAAGGCGGCCATCTACAAGCCAAGGAGAGAGGCCTGGACAGACCCCTTCCTCACAGTCCTCAGAAGGAACCACCTTCCTTGACCTTGAGTTTGGGCTTCTAGCTTCTAGAAATGAGTTGATGGAAATGAGTTGAACAGGATTCTCGAGTTCTAGAAAAACACTCCATGTGTTAATTAATATTCGCCTCTCCTCATCTTGCTCAACAGCTGTTTGCAAGGATAGTCTGTTGTTGAAGCTACCACTCTGTGGAACTTTGTCATGGCAGTCCGATTAGGCTAGTCCACTGTCTGCAACCAAAATCCTAGCTGTCTGTCCTAAAATTTGATTCTCCTTTTTAAAGAACAGAAGTGTGCACTCTGATGTCTTAGAGCTTTGAATGTTTGTTTAACCGAGGCACTAGGTAGGCCTGTCAATTAGAGCCACCCTCTCAAAAAAGTGCTCCACTTTCCCCTGGTTCTATTCCCATCACAGAGGCTGATCCCCTCACACAGCTCGCAAGCCTCAAGCAGGAGAAGAGGGAAGAGGCCAGAGCCAGGTCCACAGTGATAAACAATGTGGGGTCTTTCCAACCCTCCTGTAATTCTGACTCCAGCTCGGGTGATAGCTCTGTGACTTTCTATGACTGTGCTGTCACTGGGAATCCTACACAGATGAGGCATCGAGGCCTGTGCACCAGAGAGGCCAGGCGGGCCTAGAGGAGTAGATGGGGCAAAGGAGGCAGAGGAGGCGGGCACAGGACTTCAAAGAAAGCCTCCTCCCCCGGGGCTCCTGAGGCCCAGTGAGAGAGCTTAGGCGCATTCTTGGGAGCTCACCTCAAAGCCCTGCAGGCGTCCCAGATTCATCATGTCATTGCAGCGTTTTGGAACAAGGCACATTAACTCCACTGCTTTCTGTCGGAAAGAAAAACAGCAGCTCAGGAGGGGGAACGGAAAGCTCAGGGCAATTTCATGCTGGAAGGCAGAGACTTCCCGGTAGTTCCTTGATTCTAGGAAACCACTGGTCCCGGAGGTCTGCGAGATTGTCTGTTCTTGGGGGTGAGGGTGGGAGGGGGAAGTTGCTGGTCACCAGTGCAGGGGCAACATGTGAATGAGTGAGCACGTGTGAGAAGAATGCTGCCCAGCCCACCCTTTTCCTACCTTCCCACTTTTGGTTATCAATTCCCTCTCCTTCTTAAATGTTCTTTCTTCTCTCTGTTGTTTTCTAGCTGCCCAAGCAACAGCTTAGCCTGGCTTGTGAAACACTGGAGGTTTTAACCTAAAATAACCTTCCAGAATGGTCTGCCTTAAAACAATCCCCATGGTGACACCGTCTCAAAGGACTTCGCTTAAGGAGTAATCTTTGGGGGCGGGAAGGGAGTGAAAACAAAATTCTTTGTATGTTAGACTCAAATAGTGCCCGGGTTCATGGATAAAGCTGCACATGAAACAGCCAGTCTCTGAAGGATGTCAGAGGCCTCACATACCATCCCTTCCACCACGTGTCCCTGGGGGCCACAGCAGAACACAGTGGGGCTGAGCTCTGACCTGGCCCAGGACAGGATTAACTCCGTGTGTTAATTAATACTCACTGTTCCGCATCCTGCTCAGCAGCTGTTGGCCAGGGGCTCTTACTGTCTTAGAGGAGCCAGCCTGGACCCTCGGACTCCAGAGCCAATCTTTCCCCTTCAGAGACAGACACCCAACAGTCGTCCCTACAACAGTCAGCATCACAAGCAGGAAACTCACCTCGATCTCTGAACACTCCAAGCCCGCCTTCTCGCTGTATCTCAGGAAGTCCTAGTAGGTCAGGGAGGCGGGAAAGGGTATGGGAGGGTGAAATCAGTTAGGGAAATAGTCAGAGCTATAAAAACCCAGCATCACAGAAATGGTGGCAACACCTAGAGACATTCCTTCCCCATAGAGATGGTGATGCTGTGTAGTAGCTGGGATATGAGGCTATGAGTCATATTGTACATGTATCACAGAGAAGCCCCAGGATACGCAAAAATTCAACACCCTGAGAAAAGGGAGGGAGGAAGGGAAGTTAAGTCTCTACCGTGTACCTCCTTCTCTGTAAGATAAATTAAGCCATTACAAAAAGTACAACATGATCAAATTTTAGGTATTACTCATCTAAGGTTTCTAGGGCCTTTCCTTTCACCTAGATTCCACTCTGATTTTATGCTCTTATTATTTTTTTAGGTTCTTAAAGGTACCAAGTCAGTGATGGTGACAAAGTAAGACACTGAAAAAAAAAGAAAATGAATTAACCAACCTTAAAGGCAGGAACAACAGGCATACAATCTACTTGGGAGCAAAGCAGATACAAGTAACCGCCAGCCAAGATAGAAGCCCACATGTGCCCCCACGAGTCCACGGAATAGTGTGGTGGAGACAGAACCACAGCTAACCTGTTTGCTAGCTCAGAGCCATGAAGACCCTTCCCTGGACCTGACCCAGGCTCCCAGCCCTCTTACCTTGAGAAGCAGCTGATATTTTGTTATTCTCTGAATGGGCTTGATAAGGAAGTCGCTAAGCGTCAGCCTTTGATTTATCTCCTGTTTCAACTCCTGGAACACAAGGGAAGTGGTATTAGAAAAAAAAGGAACCACAGACTTGGGGTATTCTAGGTCAGGGTTCAAGGCCAGGAAGGCAGGCCGTCATGCTTGCCACTAAAGTTTCAGAATCTTCAAACCACGCAAGAGGCAGAACTGCCTACACTACTGCTAATTTGTTATTAATAACAGAACACACATCATTACCCTCTGCCTGTCTATCCCTGTCATAGCCTGTGTCCTGGTCTAGGTCTGGGGGACGATCAGGAATGGGTATTCCGTTCTCCCTCCTGCTCCAGGGCCCAGGGTAATTTTGATGGCTGCCTCTCCTCCAGTAAAACACACACTTCCAGGCTGGGGCAGAGCAAACATTTTCGGGTGCTTGACAGAACCTCTGGGGACGGAAGCTGAGACTACGAGGTGCCCGCGAGCACCTCAGCAAGGTAGGGGCCCTCAGCAGGCAGTCTCCAGGGCTGGTGCAGGGCAGTGTGGGCACAGTCTGCCCTGGGGCCCGGGGAGGAGGCCTAAGCTTCGGCTTTGGAAGCAGCCTCTGCACCACAATCACTCTGAGCACCGAGGCCTCTGAAAGCAGTCCGCAGGCTCGGGCCCCCAGCTCCTTCCAAGCAAGGGGGCTCCCGGGAATCGAGCTAAGAAGCTCACGGCTGTGTCGAGGCAGCGGCCCCTGTCTTGGATGATGGCTGCTGTTTCTGAATGCGGCTGTCTCGGCCTGAATCTCTCCCCCCCACCCCTCACACCAGCAAAGCCAGCACAGCTTACTTCAAAGTAGGCGTCGTACTCGGCCACGATGTACTCAGAGCGCGGCTTGTTCTGGCAGTACCACACGTAGATGTGCAGCTTCCGCTCCTACAAGGGCAGAGGCAGGCGCTCAGACACCTCCCGCCTCCCGCGGAACCTGAGTCTAAGAGCACTGTGCCAGGCTACACGCCGGGGGACAAACACACGGTCCACACTCTGGGGATGCACCGGGACAATGACATATCAAGGGCAGAGGAGGGAGTGGAGTGGCAGAAGCCCATCTCCAAACTGCAGAGACAGTGAAACAACTCAGAGAAAGGTGAAGAGGAATAGCCGCAGAGAGAGGGATTTAAGAAAGCATGGAAGTTGCCTGGCCCGTGTGGCTCAGTGGCTGAGCATCGACCCATGAACCAGGAGGTCATGGTTTGATTTCCAGTTGGGGCACATGCCTGGGTTGTGGGCTTGATCCCTAGTGGGAGGGTGTGCAGGAGGCAGCTAATCAATGGTTCTCTTTTATCACTGATGTTTCTATCTCTCTCTCCCTCCTTTCCTCTCTGAAATCAATAAAAACGTATTTAAAAAATTAAAAAAATAAAAATGCATTGAAGTGAGGCTGGTGTAAGGGGAGGGGAAGAAGGCACAGGAAACACTCACGTGTTTAATGAAGAGCTGGGCCAATCTGTCTTGCTCCTGGATACATTTTTCCAGTTCGGCAAGGAAAAAACTAAAAGGAGGGAGGGGATAAAAGGAGGAAGCCACAAATATAAAGAACATTATAAACTATTGAACAAAAATAGATACAGAGGCAAAGAAGCATCGAACAGACTGTGAAACTACAGCGGCAGGGGAGGGTGGAGGGCTAAGAGATCAACTGAAGGACTTGTATGCACGCATATAAGCACAACCAATGGAAGCAAGACACTGGGGTTGGGAGTGTGAGGGCAAGTGCCGGGGGGTAGGGGAGGCCAGGGGGAGGCCAATGGGGAAAAAGAAAAAAGGAGACATATGTACTACTATTTGTAATACCTTAAACAATAAAATAAATTTTTTAAAAAAGGAAGCCACATTCTTCAACACTGTGTAACTTCTCAAGGCTGAGGTAAATGACGGAAATCTCTCCCCAAACCCTGGCCCTAAGGTCAGATGTGGGGTGAGGGCGGGAGAGACCTGGATTCTAGGACGCCTGGATCCCCAGGATGATGTAGTACTTACTCCTTATGCCAATCATAAATCTGGTGAATGTTTCCAAACACGATTTTGTCCTTCCCTCGCATGTCCTCAGGGACACCCTTTTCTTCCATCCTCTTCATGAAGCCCTGTGGACAGAGGCAATGAGGAGCTGAGCAGTTTTTACGAGAAAGCGTTCTGGGTGAGCACCACACTGCAGGCCTTTCTGCAGGAGCTTGAGGGCAAGTGCCCCTGTGGTTTCTCACTATTCAACCAGGACTTCACCCTTGTGCAGAGTGAGACACAAAACTTCTATGAATTTCTAAGAAAGCAGAACAAAGAAGAAGTCACCTGCCCCTCTTTCTTCTCCCAATCTGAGGTCTATGTCTTTAAAGGCTCAGAACTAGACACATCTGGCCTAGAAATAAGTCTCACTGTGTTAATACTTAAGAGTCTATAAAAGGCTATATATACTAATAAACAAGTAATATTCTACTTAGACTGGGTCAACCGGACATCTTCCAGGCATCTGACTTCCTTCAGGACAGTTAGGGAGTGACCAGGCTGGCAGGAGGGTAGTTAGGGCGGGAGACCAGGCCAGCAGAGGAGCAGTTAGGGGGTGACCAGGCCAGCAGGGGGCCAGTTAGGGGGGAAACCAGGCTGACAGGGGGGCAGTTAGGAAGCATCCAGGCTGGCAGTAGGGTAGTTAGGGGGGACCAGGCCAGCAGGGGGGCAGGTAGGGGATGGCCAGGCCAGCAGGGGGCAGTAAGGGGATGTCCTGGCTAGCAGGGGATCAGTTAGGGGGCGGCCAGGCTGGCAGGGGAGCAGTTAGAGGGCGTCCAGGCCAGCAAGGGGGCAGTTAGAGGGTGACCAGGCAGACAAGCAGAGACAGTTAGGGACAATCAAGCAGGCAGGCAGACAAGTGGTTAGGAGCCAGTGGTCCCAAATTGCGAGAGGGATGTCCAACTGCTGGTTTACCAAATTTCGTGCACCGGGCCTCTAGTCATGTATAATCTCACTTTAGCTTTTAAGTCAGGCTTTGAGGTTGCATAGGCAGCATGTACCCCATCTGACAGATGAGAAGCTGAGACACTGGGGAGTCAGTGCTCTGTCTTACAGTCGCACTACCGACATTTGACGGCCCTGCAGCTCAGCCTCCAGATTCCCGAGCCCCTCACTCCTGGGCTGACTGCAGGAGCAGGCTGCTGCCCCCCTGCCTGCCCCATCCTTCCTTGGAGAAGAGAGTAACCTCCCATAAGTCAGAATTCAGGTCCTTTGCATGCCAGGCTAGTGTGTTTATCCAAGGTTCAGGATAAGCAAATACAAACCCTAAGTCAGCAGATCTCACAGGATGGGGACTTACAGGTCCAATGTGAGGCACTGGCAGGGGATGTAGATAGCAGACATTCAGTGTTTAGCATTCACATGATTTGTTTAAGATGCTTAGCCATAGGGCTCTAAGCCATCTAAATTATCCATTTTCTTTCTTTGACTTACTCATCCAAGCGTCCAAATCCCCCTAAGGTGAACCCCTATGGAGAAAGAGCTGTTTTATTTACTGCCAAGCTGACTCTGAACTGTGGACCTGCCAATCTTGCCTGATTGGTGGTTTTCCTTTGCCCATCTTCTTGGTAGTCATAACATTCTCCTTAAAATCTAAGAACACAGAGAAGCCCCAAGGCATCACTAGGAGTGACCTGCTTAGTGCAGGTCACGGTGGCTCACGGCTCTGAAGAGTAGATGTCCACGTGGTTGAACACCAGTGTAAAGCTCTGAGACAAAAAGTCACCTAAAACAAGGTGAGAGGCTGAGTTCTAACCAAGAGGCTGCAACATTTGGGGCCCTACCTCCCTCTAGATCTCTTACAATATTCAAGGGGAAAAGAAAAGAAAAAAGCCTTACCTGCATATTCAAGTTCATCTATTACCATTTCTAGTTTCATTTCTGCAAATACCCGGAGAGAAAACAGCTTGGCCCAGCGAGGCGCCAATATGCCCCCGGTTGGGTGAGCAGACCCACCCCGAGCCATCCACTCACCTCCACCACAACCCCCAGGTCCTTGACATAGTCCTTCTCCGTCTGTACCAGCTCATTCAGGACAAACCTGAGCAGGAGATGAAGAACAATGAGGTTCCTCTTAATCGTGAAGCAGGGAATCTTCACACTTAAGTCCACAGGGAAGTGGCTCTGGTGCGTTGGTGGCGAGACCACCCCAAAGCCCACACTTGGGACCCTCAGGAAGGGGCTTACGGTGCTCTCTCTATGAGAGGCCTGCGCTGGACTGCTAGGGGCACCGAGGCTGAGAGGGCTTTCCCAGGCGGCACACAACAGTCGGACAAAGAACGCCACGCACAACCCAGCCTTCCTATTCCCATTCTTTGTGCTTCTGCCTCCCTCACGTGTCACTGAACAACCGTATAGACACAGGGCAGAAAGAATGGCAACCACTTTGGCTTAATTGAGTCATGAAAGATCTGAGGCCAAGGGATCAACGTGAGACTTTCAGCTCTGTTCTTCGCCTCACAAGAGGAGAAAGACATTTGTCTGATGACCACCCTTTTGAGGCCTTGGAGACACCGACAGCAAGTGAGGCTTCTGAGATACAGAAGCCACAGTTCTTCAGGTGGGTGTCCATGGTGACCGGCCTGCAAAATCCCCAGGCAAGGCCAGCAAGACTGAGTGCAGACTCTCCAGAATCACAACTTTGAATGCTCAACCTCCTGACCCACCAGCAGATGTAGGATTTAACAACTTCAAGGGCATTTGCTTTCTCGGTTTCTTTCTTGTTCATGATTTCTTCTTGGAGCATTTGCCAGTTGCATCACTGGGGTTTTCTCACGCTCAGAACAAGGTAGGGATTGTAAGCCCCACTGTATACAGATGAGAAGGCTCAGGCAGTATTGCTCAAGAGGACAACGTGAGTAGCAGAGCACTTTCACAGTAGCCGCTGCCCGGGAAACTGCTCGGACTGGCCCTCAGGGGTCCCCAGGGCATCAACCCAAACACTCCTCTCTGTCCATATAATCAAGAGCTGGACTCAGACTCGGACGGCTGTACCCTGGTGCAGGCCAGGTGCTGTGCGGCGTGCTGATGTCTGACACACATTATCTAAGTGTGAAAGAGGTTTGCCTGGAGCTACACAACTGCATTTTTGGCCCACGCAGCAGAAGGGATAAAGTTCTGAGATGTCAAGAAGGGCCCCAGCACAAGGGTTGTAACCGTTCTGAACCCAGGAAGCAATTCATCTGAAATCCTTCATCTATGCGGCACAGAGAAGCCACCAAATTCCGGGTCTGAGGCCTCGGGCGACGGGAGGAAGCAGGGAACACATGCTTCTTTATCAGCACGCCCAGCGCGCCCACTGCTCCCTCTCTCTGAGACACAATCATGTGTTGTAGGCCACAGGAAGGAACCCGGAAGGCCAAATAAAAGCACTTAAATATATCTTTAGCTCAGCCCAAGTGACTGCTTGGAAGAAAGTGCTCACAGGAAGCCCACAGTTAAGTTAGAGTGGGAATTGGGCGCTAGAAGGGTCCCATAGAGATGAGGTCCAGCTATGTCTCCAGGTGATATTTTTATCCTAAACTGTCCGCTGAGACAATGAGGGCTGCCTCGGGAAGGGGGCTGGGCTGGGTGCTGCTAGTGCACCTGGCATCTCTTCCCTTGAAGGGATGCCAAACCACTGCGACCCTTGCCCATCGCCCACCGCACACTCGTGCACCAGGGTGGAATCGGGGGGCCACTTACATCCTGCCTCTCAGGGCCTTGGCTTTCTGTTCTTCTTCCAGGTTTCTCGTAGGTGTGGGCGGGGTCATCCCTTCATTCAGGCAGCCGGCTGGGTCCTTCAAGCTGCCCCGGTATGAGCCTCCTTCTAGGCTCTGGAAAGAGAAGATTGAACAGCCTTAGAGAAGCGCACACTGAAAGTCACCTGGAAGGGCCCGTGTTCCCGCCCGAGCCGAGACTGTTCTTCCTGGACCCAGTGAGGCCCCAGGAGACCAGAGATGCCCATCTTCCTGCAGCAGGGAGCCCAGCGCAGCCCCTTCTCAGGCAGTCACGGGGTGCTGCCTGCCTGTTTCCCAGACATGGGACATAATGAAATTGTCAAAGCGATCTGTCTCGGGTAAGGGCTCCAGAGGAAAAGCTAGTCATCGCAATTCTACACCAAACAAGCAGTTAGAAAAGAAAATCGGTTGTAGGAGCATCAAGTGCAAATGAACGGGGAGGGTAGCGATAGGAAAATTAGTTGTTTAAAACCATGTTTGTTTAATTAGTTACAATTGTTTTTGAAGTGGTCAACAGCTTTAGCCTTTTCTAAAAACACCTTTTCTAGGTTATCTACCCAGGGCTTCCTTTCAGCTATTAATCCCTTTCATTTCTTTTAATTAAGTTGCTACAGGAATGAGAGGCCTTTCAAGGGATTACTGTCGCACCCTAGAGAGAGCTAAGGGTAAAGGATTCCAATCCCAGATCTGCAGGTGCCTGGGCAACCTCAGGGAGAGAAGCTAAAATTACTCCACGCTTCAGTTTTCCTCAGCTTGCAGACCAGCCCAGAACTCTCCTTTCTACAGGTTTCTGAGGAACAAAAGTGCCTGGGAAGAAAGACCACACAGGGACACTTAGCATTTCATTTTGCAAATTGGCAGAAGTAACGTGGAGGAATGATACGACAGGAGAAGTCAGGGTGGACAACCGTCAAACAAGGATGGGAGATGAGTCCCAATTCCCCAAAGGCCTGTCCCCCGCGCCACTGCGGCAGGAAGGAAAGGCTCACATCAGCCGTCTGAAGACATCAGCCCTCAGGGGAAAGCCACAGAGATCAAAGAGTGTCCTTAAAGGTCATAGGAACAGAAGATGTTGGCGTGGTTTTAAGCTGCACTTGGACCATCTGTCAGGAACTCTCTCAGCTGCTGTGTTTCAACACAGACCAAAGAGAGGCAGAAACAGTCCAGGAAAATGAAACAAAAATGGAAGAGGTCCCAAGGGGCCACTGTGTGAGGACAGGTGGAGAATATGGAGACTTGAAGCTGAAAAACTTGAAGTTGAGATGTTGACCTTCTTTCCCCCACTGGACCCCCAAATCCACAGAAAGCGCTGAGGGCCAAACTGGAATTTGTTACCAACATAGAAACTAGAATTACGAGGACAGGGTTTCTAAGCTGGAGAAAGAGAATTCCTTTTAACTTGACAGGAAGGTATTTTATAGAACAAGTAATCAGCCGTGGGCACCGTTATCCAGAGAAGCAGCACAGGCTAAAAATATAGAAAGGTCAAGAAGAGTTTAGCTAAATTTATAGGTTCAGGATCTGTACCCAGTTATTAAGGAAATGAGTGTCTGGTGCTGAGGCTTGACAAGCCCCGGACAGGCAGGCTTTTCAATGACATGTGACAAGTCCCCTGGTGCCATCACCAGAGACCAGCTCCCGGGCAGAGGGACCCAGCTGGTGATTGATCTGATTACATGCCTTTCTCTTCCCTTCTTCCTCCCCGTTGTCCTGTTATAGCCTTTGTTCTGCAGCCTGTTGGCCGGCAGCATGCTGGCTGCAAGGCCTGGGAGACAGGCTTATATCTCTGCCTACAAGGCTGTCCTGTGGAGCATCCAGCTTAACGTGGTCCACTCTAACTCTTACAGAATGAAGGACATCTGAGGACTCCACAGTGTCACACAGAGAAATAGGTCCCATCGCCTCCTCCCTGACCTGCTACAGTAGCATGAAGCCCAGGTTATCTCTGGGATGGAGCGGAGAAGGCAGAAGCTGTGAGATAGGAAGGAGAGGGAAGTAAAGGGTTTGGCTAAGCTGTATGCTGGGCAATCTGCCTCCACTAATGGCGCTGGCTATAAATACCTACACCGGCTCAACAGTTATTCCCTCTGAGGACTTAGCTACCTGGAGTTGGGATACTGGGTCCCACTCCAGGGCCACTAGCAGTTGTCTGTGCTGCTCCTGGGGGGATGCAGGCAGCTGGTTGATGAGTGGTGGGCTGTGCACCACTACAGGGAGGACTTCTGCCCCGCCAGGCTGAGGTCACAGCGGTCTCAGTAGACAAAGGAAAAGGTGTACAAAGGAGGGAGGGACAAAAGTTGCACAATGGGTGCTCCTATAGTTGGTCCAAGGACAGGGAACAGAAGTGCAAATAGAAGTTTTAAAAGTAGATTAAGTGTGGAGGAAGGCTACCCCATGTTAAAAATGAACACATTTCCTGTCTGCTGGATCTTGGATCACATACCCACAAAACGCCCTTCCTCTGGGCTCCTATAACCACCCTTTACACACCCCGCACAGCATTCAGGGCACAGTGTTGTAACTGGTCATTTATTTGTACTTCAGCAAATATGTACCTACACGCTGACTATTTGCAAAGTCCTGGAGAAACACAGATGAGTAAGATATGGTTCCCTGCCCTCCACAGTCTAAGGCACAGGGGTGGTCTTCCAGAAGAGGTGCCATGGAGGATGAAAAGAGGCACAGGCAGCTCTATGTGAGGTGGAGGAGAAAGGGAAAGGCTTCATGGAAGAGGCAACGTGGACTGAGTACTGAGAAAGATATACCAACGGGAGGGCATTCCAGACAGCACTGTGAGAAGAGGATCAACTCCCCTGGGTAGGCTGGGAGGCTGCGAGATGCAGGGTGTGAAGTTGAGGCGGGGGTGGGGGTGAGTGGGCACGAGGGAAAGAAGAGGTGAGGGATGAAATAGATAACCCGGGAGAAGGATTCAGTGGTCCAATCATAGGGAGCCTTATATGGAGCATTAGGAAGTAGAGAGCTTTCCTTCTAACACCAATGATAGGGAGATTTTGAGCAGGGAAGTCACATCATTGAATTTAAGTTTTAGAAAGATCGGTCTTAATGTTCCTTTTCATGACTTGGGGAAATGTCGCTGATAAGATACTAAAGAAAAACAGGCCTTAGATTTTATACACTCTATGACTGCATTATCTAAAAAAGAGTCTAGAAGGTTCAATACTATGTCTAGATCAAGCATGTCAAACTCTTGGCCGGCAGGCCACATGCTTTGTTTATTTAAAGGAGGCATGTGGCCCTCTGGCCGTGCATTTGACATGCTTGGTAGATGATGCTATTATGAATGATGCTATAATTTGTTTGTACTCTTGTCGTTTTTCCATTTTTTTTCCCTTGAATGAGCATGTTGCTTTTATTCGTAAGAAAGAACCATTAAAAAGTTTTTTTAAAAGAAAAGGAAAAGAAAGATTCCTCTGTCAGCCACATAAAGAGAGAAGTTGAGAGGAAATGGTTGCAACAGCCCAAGCAGGAGGGGCTGCTGAGCATACCCTAGACTGAAGGTTCTGTGCTTGATCTCAGAGCCGGCACATAGTAGGACCCCAGAATTTACTGACCATGCTATGGAACTCTTTGGGAGAGGTCAAAGGTCAACTGATGAAACCACAGGTAAGGTGTTGGTCCAGCACCACCTACCACACCAACCTCTTAGCTGCCCCGCCTTTTTATAAAAATGTGTATACTCTCTTCTGGACAAAGGTATCAGATCTCAGTCATTCCCAGGCAAGTTGGGGTGGGGGTAGGAGAAAAACTGAAGTCCGGCCTTCTCAGGCAAATGACATTTCAGGTTTGGGACTTTGGGTTAAAAATTTTCCGGTAGAAATTTAAACTTTTCTATCTCAACAAGCTCAACAATCTTTTCCAGAGAGGGCTATCAGAGGAAGCTAGCTCCTGAAGACACGCACCTTCACAGTGGATATCATGGGGCCATTACTCCTCCTGTCTGGACTCTGAACTTCTGCTGTTCAACCTTGCAGCTGACACAGCAGGCCAGGTCATCTGAAGGAGAGCAGGCACACCCACAAGTGCAGCCTGGCCCTGCCCATGCTACGTGCCCATCACAGCTGACCAAGGCTGACCTAGGAAGGTGAATGCTATCAAAGTGGGAGTCCCAGAGGGCGGGCAGGTGGACACAGTCCCAGGGAGCCAGGCTCAGGCAGACCGAACAAGAGCTCAGTCCTGGCTGCTCCTTCCCTCAGGGCAGAGGATCGTCAGCCAAGTGTCCATAGGGAACGACTGTGCTGTGCTGCTGACGGCAGGGGCTCAGCGAGGAGGCTTTCTTTAGGCTCAGCCCTTCCTCTCCAGCAGGTGGGGGCATCTCGGGGCAGCTTAGAGACACACATGGGCAGAAAGCCCTGCTGCTCAAAGCTTGAGGAATAAAACCAAATCATACAGATTGTTAAGCTATTACACCCAGCAACAGTCACCCAACCACCAATATCCTGGCTGACAAATATTGTGTCCCTGTGCCCAGGGTGTGGCCACAGAGGATCAAATAGGCCCAGATTTCCTTGCCCTGCCCTTCCCAGCACCGATGAGTTGGCTAAGAGCTAAGGTTTGTGGGATGCTTATCTATCAGTTTACAAAGCACGTTCACACCTTACTCAATCCTCATTATGACACTTTGGAGATTAGTTTCCGGTGCACGGAACCAGCACTGTTGATAAATGAGATAAAACCAAAGCCCAGGTGGCCTAAGTCACTTGCTCAGGGCTACACAATAAGTAGTACAGGCAGCACTAACACACGGCCTTCTGACTCCTTCTATACCTGACACCAGCACCAGCCCACATGTCTAGAAAAGGCTTTATTAAAACCACATAGGGAAAGCAGGGGGAGCCCTTTGTCCTGCCTCAGAATTAATGACAACACCTTAAAGCAACACCTAGGAAAAGTACGTTAGCTCTGTTTGGGGAAGTGGGTGGGCATCCTCTCTTGGTAAACAAAAGCACTGGGTAAAGAGCAAGGCTGGCAGGAGAGAACTCAGAAGTACCCATTAATGTCCGGAGACTCGGAGACTCGCCACTGGGGGCGTTGGGGGCTTTATCTGCGCGCAGGTGAGCGAGCACCGGCCCTCATTCCCAGGCAGCAGCTGTCAACAGCAGAGATCACAATCGGGAGGAAGCCCTGGGCCACGAGCACACAGGGAGCCAGGCCTCTTCCGGGCCTGAAACTCAGACACGGGGATCTCAGCATGGTTCTGGGGAGAGCTAGGGGGCCAAGTGAATTCTCAGAGCAGAACTGGGTGCCATCTCTCAAGCAGTGAAAACAGAACTCAAGCCTGAGACATAAAGTCCACATATACTTCATATTCCCGTAAAATTCCCAGGCTCTGCATTGAAAAGCACCTGATTAGTTCTTCTTATGTGGAACTAAGATAACCTCCACCCACAGGTCTGGGACCGCCCTCTGCAGCAAAGAAGCATTGAAAGAAACCCTCCTTCCCAGGGCAGTGCTCAATTATTAGATCACAGCTCTTGTGTCTTCTCTCTCCTAACTTCTCCCCATACCTACACTCAGTTTCTTCAGCTTTCCCTCAAATGACATGGACCACACGGTATTGGTTACCTCCTTGGGGTGACTTCCATCGAGTTCAAGAATATTTTGAAACACCAGGTTCAGAAGCCAATGCATGACTCACACACAACTCAGTACAGGCGTGCCTGAAGGCGCTGAGTGCCATGGGGCTGCTACTCCCCTTAATCTGTGCACTGTACCTTCCTTACCCAGCCTGGGGCCACACTGTTGTACTTACAGTCAAATAAAAAGTTCAACATTTTTACAGGCTCCACGTCTTACCCTCTTCTAAGCTAAAGAGCGGGAATACAAGTCCTGAAGATGAAAATGTGGCTGAGGAAACCGCCGCCCACTGTTCCCCACGGCGGGTATGTGTGGGGATGGGAAGACGGAAGAAGTAGAGGAGAGGGCGCAGAATTGAATTTTGGTGAGAAGATTCTGAGAAACCAAACCACTGCTCCCTCCTCCCTTTCCCTGACATGAGCTTGGTTTTGTATGTTCAGCCAAAGGAATCTCTGTAATTCTGGGCTCACGGCAGGTCCAAAAGAGGTAATTATTGGTGGAAGTTAAAGCCCTTATTATGGGAAACTCACCACAGAAAGGCCATTCATGCAAAGATATGGTGAGAGACTGCTTTAGGTCAACTCCACCACCAGCCTCCATGCCCTTTCCTTTGGGAAGTTTGCTCTTTTGGGACTTTTCAATGTCTGGACTCACATATTTAACACCAAATCCACTGCTCACACTAACTGGAGGTGAACAGAGACTCCTAATAGTGCTAAGGTGAGCTGTAGCAGTAGGGAAAAGGTCATCCAAAATATGAAAAAATACAGACTTTTAAAAACAAATATTTGCTGATGTAAGTGTAAAAAGCTCCTGCACATTGATGGAGGAGAGGATAATGTCCTCAATGACAAATCACCTACCTGGAGGGGTAGGATGCAAATGATAAGATTCAATGATTTTAACACATAGCACAGCAGGACCTTCTAAGGCAGCGGTTCTCAACCTGTGGGTCTCGACCCCTTTGGGGGTTGAACGACCCTTTCACAGGGGTCACCTAAGACCATCGGAAAGCACATATATAATTATATGTTGCTTTTGTGATTAATCACTATGCTTTAATTATGATCAATTTGTAACAATGAAAATACATCCTGCATATCAGATATTTACATTACGATTCATAACAGTAGCAAAATTACAGTTATGAAGTAGCAACGAAAATAATTTTATGGTTGGGGGTCATCACAACATGAGGAACTGTATTAAAGGGTTGCGGCATTAGGAAGGTTGAGAACCACTGTTCTAAGGGCTGTCCTGAGCTGGTCCAGGAAGCCCTCGAGGAGAGATGAGGTTTGAGGGGGCCTTGAAGGACCATTATGCTTTAGACAAGCATGAGAGGGAGAACATTCCAGAGAAGTGGAGTGGTATGCACAGCAACTTGGAGGGAGGAAAACCGAATGTGTGCTTGGGGATAGTGAAGAAGACAAGTCAGAGTTCATCGGCCTGAAAAACAAGTGGATGCTGGAAAGACAGGTTGGAGAGGAGGCTACAGAACATGAGGCTTCTGGGTAAGTATCTACGAGCCAGAGATTTCCAAACTTTGATTCTATTCCTCTATCAGTGAGCATAATTTTGGTTATGCATTCCCAAAGCATGTAACTTATTTATAAATTACATACCATCACGTACAGATTAAAACATACACAAAAACACTGTAAAATAATGAGGTGAAGAGATGCTAATATTTTCTTCCTGCATCTTGTGTATCTGAAGGCACTGGCATTGCAAATAGCTGCCTGTATAGGTGAGAGGGAAACTGTGAGCCTTCACCGAGGAGGGAGGCAATAAACAGCCTTATGGGAGACCTGACAGGAGAGTGAGGCCGGGGGGCAGATGGGTGGGGACGGGGGGAGATCTAGCAATGGATACTGCAATAGTCCAGGCATGAGGTCAGGGCCCAGACTCAGGTGGTGAAAGAGAAAATGCAAAAAAAAAAAAAGATGATTTTGTTAATCTTCACTGAAGCATATTTTTTCCCATTGATTTTTAAAAGAGAGTGGAAAGGAGTGGGGAGACACAGAGAGAGAAACTTCGATGTGAGAAAGACACATCGATTGGTTGCCTCCCACACGCGCCCTGAATGGGGCTGGGGATCGAACCTACAACTGAGGTACGTGCCTCTTGGCCAGATTCAAACCTGAGACCCTTTAGTCTGTGGCCCAGCGCTCAAACCACTGAGCCAAACCAGCTAGGGCAAAAGGGTGAATTTTAAGGGGAAAAATGAAATGATGTTTAGAGAATGAAAAGGGTGTATGGGTGAGTGTAGTGGGGAAAGGACAGCAGTGAGGGTGGTCAGAGAGGTGAGCTTTGACAAGTCAGTGCAGGCGCCAGGAGTACCCAGCTCACCAGCAGGACGCTGAGAGATGGCAGGGAAGTGAACAACCGTCCAGAGTCTGCACTAGTTACTGAAAACACCAGCTAAGCTTAATGTTTTGTTTTTTAATTAGGAAGGAAAGCTAGAAGGAAAAGAAGACATTCACGTGTATTAAATTTCATCGGTACAGAGCTGGGGTATTTAACAAGGGAGTTCCTGTAATTAAAATGATTATCGGGCGGGCAGCTTTCCCTAGAGAGCATCCATCATTCTCCTCTCATTCCTGGGCCAATGGAGATGGGTTTCAATGGCGCTGATTAACGGCACTGCCCAGCAGAAGTCTGGCAGGAGCACGGGCATTTATCCTAATGTGAGTTGCAATAAAAACCGAGTGACATACATGGGAGCAAAGGAAAGGAAAACGCTTCAGACTGCCATGCTGCCCGACACACTTCAGCGTGAAGCCATGGAGGCTTTACCCAGAAAGGAGCGCTTTCACCAGCATTGATGCCGCAGCCCTGAACCAGCTCAGGCTCAGAGCGGGGTGGGCACCAGCGCTCTTAATTGCCCGTGGTGAGGTATCCACATACTTGTGCCCATTCTCCTTCACAGTCAGCAGTCTACTTACGTAAGATTTTGCCAGCTAGAAGGCTATCCTCGGTCCCCAAATAAAACTACTCAGTGCTTTCCCAGGTCAATCCATGTTCTGTGTCTCGACAGCAAAGTGAGCTTCTGGGCTAACCAGACACACATCAGTCACTGTCCAAATGTCACTTCCCTGGGGGTTATTTTGTCTAGAGTATTTTTCACCTTTCATCAAGGTCACAACCCCGAAGAGCCTGTTAATTGCCGGTGCCCACTCCCAAACAAAGTCCAAAAGGACTCTGGGGCCCTAGCTGGTTTGGCTCGGTATATAAAGCATCAGCCTGCGGACTGAAGGGTTTAATTCTGGTCAAGGGCTTGTACCCAGGTTGGGAGCTTCACCCCTAGTAGGGGGCTTGAAGAAGGCAGGCGATGGATGATTCTCTCTCATCATTGATGTTTCTATCTCTCTCCCTTCGTCTCCCTTCCTCTCTGAAATTAATAAAAAAATGTATTTTTTAAAAAAAAACACACAAAAAAACCAAAAGGGCTCTGGGGCACAGCTTTTTTTAGTAGAAAGCACCATTAGCTGGAAACAGTGCTGTAGGAGGGATGAGGGTGTGTGCAAAGGAGAGCATGGCCGACAGATGCCAGGCCCCGGGGAGCCACATGGAGGTAAGATACAGGCAGACGTGCCTCCAGGACCCCCACTTACCAGCTTGCTTTTGACCAACTGTTCTATTGCACTGACAAGGTCTGCAGCAGTAGGAACTTCGGCGGAAGCCTGCCGGGCTGCTAGCAAAGAGGAGGACTGCAAGACATTGAGCAGCAAAGGAAAAGCAGATTAGCAAGGAATGAGGAATAGCAATTAGAAAGCAAAACAGCAAGTCAAAGCTCAAGGCAGGCGAGGCAAGCAAAGCTCTATGTATCGAGGGAAGAGATGACAGAGGGAGATAGTGGGTGTGGGTGTGGGACAGGCCTGCCAGACCCCTTGTCAGGAAATCTGGCCAGAAGGAAGCAGGGATGGGCCTAGGCCCTCCTTAGGCAGGCCACCAAAGGAGCCGAGGGGCGAGGTCACTGTGTGGCCAATAGGTAAGGGCTGTACCCACTGATAGCAGTGAGGTGGTGGGCGTGGGGGGAAGGGGCCAGACAAGACTTTGGTCATTACAGTGCTGCTCATTGCTGTTCCAGGGTATGAAAGGAGTAAAAACACCTAGCCTCTGTATGTCCAAAGAAGAGAAATTGTCCTTGCTTTACTCAGATCTTAAATATAATCTTCACCTGGTGTCAAGCAAAAATGCTGGGGGCAGGGCACTTAGAGACCAGAAAGCTAGACCCCTCCCTCTCACACACACACAAACACATAGCCACACACACAGTCACACACACATGCACCCTCACACACACTCCTCCACAAACACAGCTATTCCCAGTAAGGTCCCCACACTGGAACACTGGGAAGCAATAAAGGGCTTTAGCAGGACGTGTGTGTCTCCTGGAGCAATGAGGGACTCTCCCGATCACAGTGAAGGCAGGCTCAGCCATGGGCTGTCCCGCTGCCCCTCAACCCACAATAAGGATGGACCCAGGTGGCTGTTGGTCAATGGTTTGGGAACTCCTGCTCACTGAGGGGCGGTGGCATATTTTTTTCCTTCTGCTTGAGAAGAAATTGGGGGAAATGATGAACCCTACATGCATGGGGTAGCTTTTCCCCTGGCACATCGCAGCAGAGGGCAATGGTATTCCCAGGGCCCGGGACGCACGCGCCTTCAGCCTTTGATACTAACGACTGACTGTCCTGGCTATGCTCTGGTTGTCCCTTACGTTTGGGGAAGAGTTTCAGAAAGGAAGCATCTTGTTGTCTAATCTCAGTGCGAGTTTAGTCTCTACTTCTGAGACGGGGCAAAAAAAAAATCAGAAAAATGTAATTAAGAGAGACATAAGGACACTCTTTTTTTCTCTCCTGGGGAATGCAGGAAAAAAGCGTAAGTCTGTCTGGAAGTCCAAGTTATCAACTTTGTGATCTAGTAATCCTACCCCCGGGAACTGTTTCCAAGTGCAGCAGTGTATGTACCAGGTGACCTGGGCAGTACTATCGGGAGTAGCCAAAGCTGGCAGCAACCTGGGATATCCTCAAATAGGCCGGTCAAGCTAATTCTGGCACATAAGTAACCTCATACTCCCTAGCTAGTGAAATTATAGTTACGGAGGTAAAATTAATGAGGACATAGTAAATAAGACATACATGCAAATGAACAAATACTAGAAGGAAACATGCACAACATTACAATGGGTAGACTTTTAAAAATCCCTTTTACATGGCTGTAAAAATTATTTTTATAAACCCAACACCATTTGCTAGAAGTTCTGAGGATCCTCCAATTTTCCAGAAAACAAGGATTCAGAAGTCAAACAAGCAGGACGGAGGAGGGTTAACGAGTCTGCAAAGCGACTTGCCATCTCTCGGTTTCTGGATGAGAAAAGTCTACATAGACATCTGGGAGTAAGTCTACATTTTCAGTTAAAAATTATCTAGAAACAACATAACATCCTTTCCCCCAAACAAACTGTTTCTGCTGTTTCTGGGGTTACTAGAGGGGGAGGGTTCATGACCTTTACTTATCTTCTGCAAGCTGGCACCTTGGTGCGGAGGGCTGCGTGGGATGAGCGTCCCACTGCCCACAGGCGCTATCACTGTTTACGGAACATGTTACAAGGGTAGGCCTCTGGGAACACAGCGGGCTGGTCTTCGTTCCCACCTCAAGGTGAAGCACAGGGATTCCAGAATGGGCACCCTGCCAGGCTTCTTGCTCCTTGTTGCCCATAGCCAAGAGTCAGAGCTGGCCCTGGAGACCAGGGTCACCAACATCACCTTAGGAGGGGCCACACTGTGCTTCTCATGGTGAGTCACAGAGGGGGCAGCGACCACATCTTAGTCATCATCCTGTCCCTAGAATCAGTCCCTCTGGCACAGAGGAAGCCCTCAATTAGTGTCTGTGGGTAATGACCCAAATGTAGAGAAGAATTAAAACAAGAACTGGGCTGTCACCAGAAATGCTGAAGCATCCGCACAGTCCTTTTGGCACTGTATCCTAGGTGGTGCTGTATGCTGGGCCCACAGCATCAGAGCGGGCTGCCCCACTGCAAGGCAGAACACTAGAGAGCACAGGGAGACTGGACAGAGGCTAAGCCACTGCCACCACCACTGCCATTGCTACTGCCACCACCACCGCCGCCACCACCACCGCCACCACAATCACTGCCACCACTACCACCGCCACCAACAACACCACCACTGCCACCACCACCACCGCCAATGCCACCACCACCACCACCATGACTACCACTGCCACAATCAGTACATGACATTCTGAAAAGCAAATGAAAAGTACAATAAAAAATGGAAACCACCACTTCAACTCCAGCGTCCAAAGGACAGCAACGCTAAGGGAAAGTGTGGTTTGTAAGGACAGTGAGTGATGGAGCACGTGATTAAAGCAGCCTCTGGCCTCGGGTCAGAACCTGAACACATATCCCACCTCAGCTTCTGCTCCAGAACAACCGGAATGATCATCCTGCGATTAGAGGCCCACTCATCATACTTCCAACAACTGTGGGTCTCGGGGCATTTTGCAAAACAGAGAACTTGAGCAACCTGGCATGCTGGGTTTGCCCACCTCTGACAGCAACCTCCCCTCAGCTCCATCCTCATGCTGTGCCTGCAGAATTTCAACAGCACTGGGCTTGCCTGGAAGCTTTAGGTGTTAGAGTTGGGGACAGGGGAAACAATCAACTGAAGCACGGGGTGTACAGTCAGGCACAAGAAAACGATCATGGCCGGGACCACCTCAGATTCCTTTTTGAGACTAACCACGCCTTTTGGAATCAGCTGCTCCCAAAGACAAAGCCATGACTTTTCATCAGTAGGACACGATGCCAGCAGATCCCACTCTGCCCATTCCACACACACGGCCACACTGCCCAGAACGAAGTCAGACCTCCAGGGTCTGTAGGGGGAGGACCCTACCAACTACCATGGATTCATGTGGTGCAGGAGATAACAAGGGAGAGAGTACTGCTGCCTACCACACACACACAGTGAAAGCACACGCGTTACACATCCTCGTTCAAGTGAGAGAGCAAAGAAGTCCTACCATCTCATCCTGCGCAGGGTCGTTGTCAAAGATCTTCATAGGCGGAGGGAGCGGGGTGTGGGATTCTTCATCTGGCTCATCTTCACCCCAACCTTTCTTGCTCTTCTAGAACAAAAGAGCAGCATTAGTCACTGTTCCATAGAGTTAAAGATGCCAATAGACTTGGCAATTTTTTTTAAAGCAACATATTAGATACCTCCTCTCTCAACCTACCCCTACATTTTTTTAGCCTCAGTGCCTTCCTCTGTAGAATAGGTATACTTCTTACCTCAAAGGACAGTAAGGACCAAATGAGGAAAATACACACATACACACACACACACACACACACACACACACGCACGCACGCGTCTGAGAAACATCTACCTTGTGGATTAGCCAGTGAAAGGGAAAGCTGAGTGTGGTCAGAGAGAGCCAACTTCCTGAGTTTTCGAAGGACTATTAAAACACAGTCTGATTATCACCAGGCTCCCCTTTTCACAGGAAGAAATGGCAGACAGCACAACATTACCAAGAGCGTATGGTTACAGATCAGGAAGTACTTCTTAGTCACACTGGTGACTAGAGTAGGTTAGTTTGCCAGATAAAACAGCTATCCCATTCTACCAACCAAAACAGACCCACTACATCTTGATCACAGAATCTCAGCGTTGGAAGGAACTTCCAAGGGTCATCCAGTCTGACCTCTGAGTTAACACAGGCGTCTCTCTGTTACGTGAGATCATGCAGTCTCCCAGACCCTTGCAGTATGGTGGCCATTCATTTCATGGAGGCTCATTCCCTCACTAGCTGACCCCCCTATAAAGTCCCTCTTGGAGCTGAAACCTTGCCTGTGATAATGTTCGCCGTTTGTCAATCATAATTCTCCCCTTGGAGCAAGCTGGACTTGTCTGTTCCCTTTCCTATGTGGCGGTGCTCAAGACACTTGTAAAGAGCGACCATCTCCCAGCACAGTCTTCTGTTTTCCAAGTGAAATGGCCTCTGTTCTTTTATTCCCATTCTAAACAGGCCGAGCAGGTTCTGATGGAGTCCCTGGCAGTGGCAAGGGGCCTAGGTGACTACCTGGCTCCCCTTGGAGCCAAATCTAGCAAAATGGTGTTTGTGTGCAGATGTGCTAGGTGCTGCTCAGGCTCTGAACTGGCCACAGATCAAACTGGCCAAGTCTTGAGAACTTGGGTCACTTAGGCTCAAGAAGACACTACTGGGGACTAGACTGTCCAGCTTGCTACACCCCGGGGAAGATGGTGCCGGGGCTGCAGGAAGGACGAGTGCCAAAGCGCTTCCGAGGGCCGCAGGTAGGTACCTCATCAGCACTGTCTCCCTGAGGCGTCGTCTCATCCCCAGGCTTGGGAGAGCCCAGGTCGAAGCTCTTGCGGCCATCGCGCACTTTCTTCTGCTTCTTGATGTTTCCGTCTGCCTTCCCGCTGTTGAGCCTGCGCACCGGACTGGTCAGCCACTTCTTAAGGGTGTTGGTGGAGCGCTTGGGGCCGGGGGAGCTGTGGATGGAGTTCAGGGAGGGCTGGCTCTGCAGGTTGGCCACTGACTCGGACTTGCCTCCGTTTTCACTTGAGGAATGAGAGTATGTATCTGAGGAAAAAACAGACAGAGCGGGGTCAGGGGCAGCGAAGGCACCTGCCAGCCCGGGCATGAGGCAGCTCCGTCCTCAGGAAGCGAGGACACGAGGCAGAACGTCAAGGCCGGCTGCAGGCCCCGGTCAAGGGAACTCTCTCTGGAGCGGCAGGACTTGCCAAGACTCCCTCAGTTTTTTCTGTGCAAGGCACCACTCCAGGTGCCGTGGAAACAGGAGAGGACAGAAGACAAAGACGCCTGCCGTCATGGAAAAAGCCAAGGTCCTAAGGAGAATTACCGACCAATAGCAATGTCATGGAGCACCCATTAGTGTATTCTAAAGATATGCAAGTCATAGAGTTTATTTTCAGAGGCCCTTTATCTAGCTACACACACACACACACACACACACACACACACACATGTGCACACACACACACAGGGACAGAGAGAGAGAGAAGCAGAGAGTGAAAGAGCAAGACAGAGCACACGAGGTAAAGGTAATTCACACAGCATGATGTAACTAATTGTATGGACTCTGGACCGCAAGGCAGCAGAATTCAGAGGCGGGTCAGGTCAGTGCTGGAGGGGCTGGTCTGCCAAGGTTTGGAGGAAGAGAAGTGTGTGACTAGAAGAGAAGGGAGAAGGAATTCCGAAAGGGGAGAGGGTGGGGACAAAAGCACAGAAGTAGGAAAATGGAAAAATGGAGTTACCACAGCCCATGCGTAGATCTTTTGAATGAAATAAAGATTAATGAAGAAGGAGAAACTGGATAGAAAGATTACTAAGAACATTTAATAATGAACTAGGAGTATGAAGTTTATTGTAAGACTTCACTGTAATGACAGGATAAAAAGGGGTGTTTTTGTTTGTTTTGGTTTGTTAGTTAATTAACCTGGTAACTATATATGGCATAGCCCTGGGAAGGGGGTTAGAATCCAGAGGCCACGCCAGGACTGTGCACAGGGACTGCAATGGAATGAATGGGAGGCACTTCAAAGCAAGAAGTGATGCCATTCGTATCTGGAAGACAATTGAAGGTGAGTTGTCGCTCTGTGGGCTGTTCCTTTCTCATTCCCAGAGTGGTCTTGGGAGGATACCTGCTTTACCTTGAACCCTGATGCCCCCATCACTCCAGGGCCAGGGTGCATACTGATATCTAAACCAAATTCATGACTCTGTATTTAAACAGATTACTGGAGTGGCTCCTAGTTATCTCAAAGATGGAATTTCCTTTCCCTCTAATAGCTTCATCCTGGACCTAGACTAGAGGTCTAATCTAGACTTGGAGCCCTCAGGCGAGACCCAGAAGAAACTAAATCCCCAGAGAAGGTGAGTGAGTGCTTTTGCCCATGGAGAGCTGGCCCAGTGTCTACAACCACCTGATCTCGGGGGCACCAACCGTTGACCCTGCAGGACTTTCTCAGCTATTGCTAGAGTTTTGTACAACGTTTAGAAAATAACAGCCTAACAGTTGCATCAGGAAGCACATAGAAAATTGAGTTCCTTTCTTAGATATTGCTAGGGTTTTATACATAGTTTAGAAAATAGCAGAATAGTTGCATCAAGCAGCACACAGAAAATTGAGTTCCTAAAGTCCTTTGGTATGGAGAATAACTTACAGGGTCTCTCTGCTGAGGGAACATTTGGGGCTCGACTGACTTGGTCGGCATCGCTTTAAGGACAAAGTTGTAATCTTATCTCAGGGAATTCCTTGCTGGCTGTGGTCTCCAGTATGTTGACATTACTTCTGAAGCATTGGTATGGGTCTAACTCCTGTTCTCAGAAGCCTGGTGATAAACATCTCCCCAGCCCTGCAGAGGGACCAGCGCCTTTCTGTTTATCTTCTGCTGATAAGCTGCAGGAGGTTGTCATTCGCCAGGCTCCCAAGCCCTTGAAACCTAGATTTATCAGCACATACTCAGTCAGCAGAACTGGAGGCCCAGCCTCATCAGCCCATCAGCTATGCCTTGTGTCACTAAGCAAGGCAGATGACTGTCCACGTTTTCTGCTCCACAGCAAATTGCAACCCGGCTCTGAGAGGCACTAAAGCTAAACCTGACTGACCATTCTTTCTCCCCCATTGTCATCTGGTTCTGCTTTGGAGAGTCCTGGTAAAATTGATGGCAAGAGTATACATTACAAAACACACATTAAAAACCAAGAGTATTCTCAATTTTGTTTTTCCTGTGTAAACAATTAGGGTAATTCAACCACAGTCCACAGAGAAGAGAATTCAAGAGTTGGAAGCAATGTATGATTCATCATCTGGTTAGAACTGATACAGAACCATTTCTAAATCACTTTATCTTGTTTTTATTTTTCAATTCTGAGGTATAATTGATTTATATTTCTTTTATATTTATAATGGTTTCAGTTTTTTAAAAAAATATATTTCCTCTCTTGATTTCAGAGAGGAAAGGAAGAGGGAGAGGCAGAAACATCAATGATGAAAGAGAATCATTGATCGGCTGCCTCCTGCACACCCCCACTGGGGAACGAGCCCACAACCCGGGCATGTGCCCTTGAGAACCAAACCTGTCACCCTTCAGTCCACAGGCCGATGCTCTAGCCACTGAGCCAAACCAGCTAGGGCATTGTTTTAGTTTTGAGACAAGTAACATTGTATTAGTCCAAGGGGTACAGCACGATTTCATATATACTAGTGTGTATGTGTGATGATGAGAACATTTACTAAGTCACTGCAAATGCATGGTTATAAAGGAATGCAGCATCATTTCATTTATTACTACTTCAAAGGCCAATTGGCATGTTATGCTCCTCTCATCTTTGGAAGATGGCTGCAATGAATTGTTCGAGGATTTATTCTAGTATCTTCCCAGGCACAACAGTGATGGTACTGATTTGTAACATCTTCAATAATAATATTGTTAATCTCATAAAATCCTTCCAAGCTGAGGTAGGCGCTATTTTTTTCTTGTCTTAAGAAATAGAAAAACAGAATATTTTAGGAAACCAAGGCTCATAGTTAGTAAGCGGCCATGAGGCAAGATTTAAATCCAGATATGACTCCACCGCACAAATATCGAATCTTATTCCTACATCTGTATTCACTCCAGGTACTCCCTTAGTCTATATAAATATTGTCAAAAGGAGCATGAAGTCACCAGTCCTTGTAATATTTCAAATACACATTTATATATCATGTCTATAAGTTATAAAATTTCAATACTGAAAGCAGTCTCAGTAGCACGAATCTTTCAGAGCAAACAATGAAGGTTTTGACATGGGAACCCACTGTCACAACTGAGTTGTCACAAAGCTAGGATCAGAATCCAGGCATCTCTGACTGCTCCCAGGCTCTGAAAGGATGCTTCCTCGTCAGCCCTGAGCTATAAAACTGCCCACTAGACTGATACCTGGTTTTAAGTCACTGGGAAGAAAATGGGTCCCTAGACACTGCTCGTAATAAAGACCCCCGGATGTTCTGGTATGTACCATTTGCTTTCTAAATTAGAAAAAAAAAATCATACTTTAAGGCTAATTGTACTATGAAATATTTTTAAATACAGAAAAATTTAACACCCATGTAGATATGATAAATGTAAATAGTTTTGCTACATTGGCTTCAGTTTCTCAAAAATGAAATAAAACACCATATAGTTGAAGCCTTTTTATTACTTTTGCCTATTTGCAATCCTACTACCCACTTTCCCTTCCCAGAGTTTAATTCTTTTCTGAAGCATCTTTCCCATCTATGTTGTTAGCATTTATTGTGTATGTGAATATATTGTTATTTTGTGTTTTATATTTTATGTAATTATCATAATGTAGGTATCATTTTGTAACTTGCTCTTTTATTCAAAATTTGATTTATCTGTGTTCATATATGTACATCTAGTTTATTTTAAGCATTGAATACTCTTTCTTAGGACATATTGTGATGTTTCTAATACATTTTCATAACAGTAGACATTTAGGTTGTTACACAAGCATGTATGTGTATGTGTGTGTACACACAGGTGTATAGTGATTTTAAGCACTCCTGTATAGGTCTCTTTGCATATGTCTGAGAATTCCTCTAGGACAAAGCTTCCGAAACTATCTGTGTTAAGAGACCCAGTTTTCTTATATCTAGTCTGTTTTGGGCCAATCCTATATAATAAAAGGCTAATATACAAATTGACTAAACGGCAGAACAACCAGTCTCCGTGATGTGCACTGATGTCCAGGGAGCAGACGCTCAACACAGGAGCTGCTCCCTGGTGGTCAGTGCATTCCCACAGGGGGAGCGCTGCTCAGCCAGAAGCCAGGCTCATGGCTGGCGAGTGCAGCTGTAGTGGCGAGAGCCTCTCCTGCCTCTGTGGCAGTGCTAAGGATGTCCCCATGGGGAGTGGTCCTAAGCCATCAGTTGGGCATCCCCTGAGGGCTCCTGGACTATGAGAGGGCACAGGCCAGGCTGAAGGACCTCCCCTCCCCAGTGCATAAATTTCATGCACTGGGCCTCTAGTATTTTTATAACATACAAAGTCAATTTCTTGGAAGTCAGAAATGCCAAATTATTATAAAAGCTTCTAAATACTCTCATTTCCTTTACTTATTTATCTCACTGTGCATCCGAAGCAAAGAGCTCACAAACCTTCAGTATCTGCAGATCACACATTGAGTAGCACCACTCTCAACCCTACGGCATTTAAAGCATATATATCCAGGTAGAGCCTGGGTTTAGGGAATGCAAATCACCAACTTCACTAGGTATCATCACATTGCTCTCCAAGTTATTCCATCAACTATGTGTAAAAGTTCTTGTCTTCCTGCCTTCTCCTCAACGTTTAATTATATGTACACTAGCACATAATTTTCCTCTGGAAAAATTAAATGTGTTCTCCCTAACCCAAAACACATACATCAAGGAAGTAAACTAAAATGAATGCAGAATGCTTCAAGAAGCAATGAAAAGGTAAAAACCAGTGCCTCTTGATCAACGGGAAATGCATCCTATAGTTGGTATCTCGGCCACAACTGGAGAAATAGGAAACTTGGCAGGATAACCCATGAGGTTGAGGATCCAGCTTCATAGACGGAGTGGCATACGCTTAAGTGCGTGGCCATAGGACTATAACGATACTAATGAAATAAAGGAAATGTAAGTGAGTCAACAAACTCTTATCCATTGGCAGACCCTCATACTTTCACCCTTACTTTCTTCAACTCCCAAGCTACCTCTCAAAACCACCCAATTGCTTCTTTGTACTTGAGGGGAAAAGATATGCTATATGGTCACAGAAAATATTCCAACATTTAACCAATAGCTAGAGAATTCTTGACAACAATGCTCATCTTTTAGTGATAATGCTGAAGGTGACTTTGAGAAGCGCTGCTGGTCTGATGACTTTCTTGCCCTGCGTATCTAATCCAAGAACAATCTACTGGTGCCTACTCAGTGGACTGCAACACAGAGATGACCTGGGTTCTCAACCTGCTCTGCCACTAACTAGCGAGGTGGCAATGGCGAGACAGAATGGACAAGATGCCTTCACTGACAGAATGGACAAGATGCCTTCAGAGCCCGGCCCCCCTACTTATGAGCTGTGTGACTCTGGGCCAGTTACTGCACCTCTTTGTATTTTGGCTTCCTCATCAGTAAATGAAGATAATATTAGTATCTATGCCATAGGACTATTATTAGGATTAAGGGGTTAATATTTATAAAATGCTGAGAGTACTTTAGACCCATAGGAAGCATCCTTTAAGTTAAATAAAAATCAATAAAACCATAAAAGTCTTCCCTAATTTATGACTGTGATTTTATTCTGTATGTCCCTTAATTCCACCTATATATTCTTCTAAAGGCTAGACTAGATCATTTAAGGCCATTTTTTTTTTTATCTTCAAAGTTTTATGCACCATGAAAGCAAAGAAAAATTGAATGCTGCCAGGTGCCCCCTCCCTCCCCACTTCAAGGAACCATTCCTATGACCAGCGCCTGCATCTCCGAATAAGGGAGCCACAACCTTGGACTATCAGGCCACTGCTGCCCCCTGCTCCACCGTCTGGAAGCGTCAGCAGCAGAGGTGATTCCCCGGAGATGACACAAGCCTCCTTATCTAATAATAGTGCTATCTACAGGACTGAAGCAAAGGAACAAGTGAGGAGACTGGGGTCTCAGACACCACCACGGGGTTAGGGTCACTATGTCAGTATTGTCAGGCTAAGCCTTGGGGCAATGGCTCCAGGAATTCAGGATTGGGGTGTGTGTGTATGTGTGTGTGTGTGTGTGTGTGTGTGTGTGTGTGTGTGTGTGTGTGTGTGTGTGTGTGTGTGTGTGTGTGTGTTCGGTTTTTAATCGCAGCAGCATGTTTCCAAGCAATGTAAGAGATGAGAGCTCTGCTTGACATGGAGATGAAAACTAGAATAAAGCCCATGAGAGTTTGTGCACTGAACACATTGTACTAAGCCCAATGTCTACGTCAAATATTGCCCTTCTTTTAGTTGGGTCGCCCTTCCTTAGCAAGCAAAATAGAAGATACTTGTGTACAACATGAGGAGTAACTGCCATCTTTGAGGGCATGGCAGTCAATTAGCATATTCCCTCCTTATTGGCTGTGGGCACCACCATCTTTGAGGGCAGGGCAGTCAATTAGCATATTCCCTCCTTTTTGGCTGTGGGTGCTGCCATCTTTGTGACAGTGTGAGGGTCAATTAGCATATTCCCTCTTTATTAGATAGGATACCTGTTTTATCTAAATGGTCAGTGGATCTATAAATGTCCCCCTGGTATTCATCATAATACTGTATTGGAAGCTTTAATTCCAATGGCCCAAATCAGAAGGAATTACCAGGTACTTATTTACTAGATATTTACACAAGATCCTCAATCGACTGTTCTTTTGTTCTGCTTTAGCTCCAATGATACAGGAGTAATTGTAAACTCATCCTCCTTGCTTTCCATGGCTTGAACTGTATAAGGCAAATGCATTTCAATACATTTGTCTACAGAGATTCCAAACATTGCTGGTTTCTTTGGCTTTTTAGAAATAATTTACTTATGTAAAAATTATCCAAGTATTGGTACTTTTCTTTTTTCACACTGGAAATGGCACAGAGAAGGGCATATCATGGGAAGGTGGAGGGTACAAATTCTCTGGGCAATAAATACATAAATTCAATGGTCTGTATGCAGAAACAGCCGAAACCTACAGCAAGTATGAGTATATCCTTCCTGGCTTAAGTTGATGGCTCTGGCAGCCCTCAGTGGGAAACTGGTGAAAGCCAATTTCCTGGTTGCACATTCGGCTGAGGCCCCAAGGCTACAGACCACCACACCCTGGCATGGCTGGCTTCCCAGCAAACCATTTGGTTGTCGACTTGGTGCCAGAGGATGAAGAAAGCTGATGTGGGGACAGCAACTGGAAAGAGGGAAGGGGGAGAATCAGCCTGGGCCAGAAACACTGTTCTTAGCACTCGGAAACCTACTGTCCTTGCAATTGCTCCTGCCACAACTTTAGACAAAACTTGGCAAACATGTCCTGGCTCAGAATATTCCTTTTCCCCTCTCATTGCCACACTCAAGTCCCAGATGCAGGTGCAAGCCCCTGCCTCGTGTTCATTATGCCACAGCTGCCATACAGCACTCAGTTCAGGAATCTCTTCTCCAGCAAGTCCTCTGCTGACCCATCATGCTCCACCTCACCACTTTACTCAGGCTTCATGTGTTTTTTATCATTTGTTTTTACATCTAAATCGTTAGGTATTCGGGACATCCTTGTCTGACTGCCCCTACTAGACAAAGAGTAAAAAATGAAGGACCACTCAGAGCCTTAAAAGCACATTGTACTGGATGATATCTTAGTTCATCTCTACTTGTTGGTCCCCTTCTTTTCCTTAAACTGCTGCTTCTATCCAGGCGGACTATGCACAGGGAGCGGAGCCACAGAGGTGATTTCAAACCAGCGGCATCTTCGCCAGACAGAAGCCTTTTCGTACCAGGGGCTTCTCCCACAGACCAAACACTCTCCACAGGGTGGGAAGGCAGCACCTCTGGCTTCAACCTAGATGAAGTCTTTGTAATCCTGTTCTAATTCAGTCCGGATCTCCCTCAACTGCTGCAGTGCCTCCCGCTCCACTCCTTGCCTGACTCCTATCAGGAGGCCATTGGATGAGGAGGGTAAGATGGTAATGTTTCCAAATGCTTGTTCTCAGGTCCCCTTAGCCTCAGTTTCCCCTGTGTACTCTCTTCCCTGAGTCAGAGACAGAGGAAGGAGAGCCTCAAAGGACACCAAGCCCCCACCCCCAGGTAAGCATATCCTGAACAAGCAAGGCCATTGCCGTAACATGTTGCCACGATGACTTCCTTGATTCACCACCTCTGTAGTTGTCTTTGGAAGTCAAGGTTAAAACACTGGCTCTCTCTCTATTTCACCATCACTTGCTCCATATTCCAGGGGTGATTCTAAAGCTTCATATATCAGATCAAGCAAAGTCAGTGAGCGCGGCTCTGCTGCCCTTCCAGGAGCAGACATTCTAGGTACCATTCCCATCTATAAACCCATTTCACTCTCCCAGCCTAGCCCACAGCCTGTGGAGAGGGAATACACATTCCTCCCACCTGTGGAGTAGGGAACTCTCCTAAGAGGCTTTGGGACTGTTCAAAACCAAAATAACATGGTAAAGTTGCACTAACTCAGATGGAAAAATGGACCAGCCCTATTAGTATAAAACCTAAATACAGACTTGGGTTGAAGACATGGTTCCCACTTGTGACAGAGCAACAAGAATCAGGGGACAGGCAGGAGCCGAGGTCACCTGGGCTCTGCTTTCATCTACAAACAGATCAGGAGCACAAGAGCTCATCTGATCATGACACAGCACCTGCCAAGTTCTGAGGCTGCAGGGGGCATCTTCCTCGAGCTTCACCTCTTCAAAAGCATCCCTTGCAGGCTCCATCCTACCTGGCAGGCAAGCCAAGTTTCCCTGGTAAAACAGGGCCACTCCTGAGTCCCAGATGTATTCACACCTGAGTTCTCTCCTAGGCCTTCAAATAAGCCCTCAGGTAGCCCTGGCCGGTTTGCTCAGTGTATAGAGCATGGGTCTGTGGACTGGAAGGTCCCAGGTTTGATTCCACTCAAGGGCACATGCCCAGGTTGTGGGCTCGATCCCTGGTGGGGCCCGTGTAGGAGGCAGCCGATCAATGATTCTCTCATCATTGATTTTTCTATCTCTCCCTCTCCTTTCCTCTCTGATTAAAAAAATAAAATCTTTTTTAAAAAGCCCTCAGGAAAATTAAATGACCTCCCTAAAAACAGTTTACCCTACTAACTTACACAGTAACGTAATATATATTGATTTTATAGAGGAAGGGAGAGGGAGAGAGAGGTAGAAACATCAATGATGAAAGAGAATCACTGATCGGCTGCCTCTTGCATGTCACTCACTGGGGATCGAGCCCGCAACCCGGGCATGTGCCCTGACCGGGATTGAACTATAACCTCCTGGTTCATAGGTCACCGTTCAACCACTGAACCACTCTGGCTGGGCCACACAGTAATGTTTTCTGCTTTTCCTTCTAGATTGTGTGAATGTAAAAAGTTCAACCCTAGTAATAGTCACCGAGCCTCAAAATAACATTATACAAATTACCATATCGAACGGAAGATTCTCCCAAAGAACGATGGAGACGACCTGTCAGCCAGCTCTTCTCTCCTACAAGCAGATGCTTCATTCACAAAGATTTCTGCACTAATATTTTCTTTCCATTCCCACTGTTCCTGCCCTAATCAGACCTTTCAGGTCCATTTGCTTTAACCATGTAACAACTTCTAAACTGGTGTCTCTGCATCTTTTACTTTCTCTCTATCCATTCGACCTATCTCTGCTACCAGCACAATTGCATTGCTTTGTGCAAGTCACTGTTCTAAACTGGATCAGGAAAGTCTAACATGTCAGCCTGCCATTGACACTCCGTGGTCAGGTCTAAGCTCACCTTTCCTGCTCTGTGAGTTTCCATTCTTCGATAGTCCAGGGTTCTCAAACTGGGGTCCCCAGCTGGGCACTGCCAGCACCATCTGGGAACTGGTTAGAAGTGCACATTCGTGGGTTCCACTCCAGAGCTACTGGGTGAAAAACCACGGGGGTGGCTCAGCACTCTGTGCTTTAACGAGCCCTCCACGTGATCTCAGTGTATGCTCACGTTTGAAACAAGTATTCTACATGAACCCTCCTCACTAGCCTAATTGTTCAGGTCACGGCACCACCCTTGCTGCATTCCTCATTGCTCACACCACCCCGCTGTCTCCCTGCTTGTCTAAAGCCTACTAGGACTTCTGAGATGACTAAGCCCAGCACGTTCTCCTATTTCTCTGAGCACCTCTTGTGCCATTCATTTGGCACCGGTGATGCTTGTGTACATAGCCTTCCTCTCAGTAAAGTCCTTGAGGACAGACAGGTCCTCCATCTTTGTCCCCGGTACAAACTCCTTGGTCACAAAGGAGCTCACTAAATGGCTCTGATGGGCAGCTAAGCACAAAGAAAATCATTGGAGTTGGACTATTTTTAGGTGCAGAGACTACTAAAAAAAAGTCAACGTTGGTGAGGAACTCATCTCTGAAACTCAGCAATGTGACTGTCAATATAGACTTGTGCTTCCTGTTCCTAAGACAGTCTAAGTCAGCGGTCACCAACCGGTGCTCCACGGACCACTGGTGGTCCGTGAGGTCCAAAAGGTTGACGACCGCTGGTCTATGTGTTGCCCAGTCAATTAAGATGCATTAAACAAAGTTACCTGCTCCCTTACTTCAGGACTTTTAAGAAACTTTAGTATGCAAATTAACATACTCATGTAGATGACGAATCTCCAAGAACATGTAGCATTTATTGAATTCTATCAATACGTAGTAGAAGGCAGTGTGGATGGCCTTGATCTTGGCTATCATTCCACCTCTGTCTGGATACAAAAGGTGAATCGGATTTCCAAGGATGGTACCTGAACATCAGGGAATGCCAGTCAAACTCAACACCTCCTATGAACGCCACCATGGGAGGAGATAAGTTACAGTCAGTCCAGCTATTTTCGGCTGGTGCACAATCACCTCAGAGTCTACCCAGAAGCCAGTGGGAAGCCTGACCTG